GAAACTTGTATTACTCAGCTATCGTAGCAATGATCTCTGTGTTAAAATTATATTTGAAACGTGTTTAATTAATTCTATCACATATGTGATAATGATTGACACCAATATTGTCCTTTAATTCCCCTTCTTATATAATATGCCAACATAGAGTATTACATGTAGCAATTTATTGTTTTTCAAAAAATATTAATTTATAGAAAAAACAATTTTCTCTGCACCACCTTCATTTTTTATGAGATTTACAATGTTGGTTCATTAAATATATCTGTGCTATGTATTTCAGTTCATGTTTATGTTAGCTGACATCTGATTGTTGATCTAAGAATTCTGCAAGTGTTGCAGGATCTATTGGAATCAAAAGATGTTCTGCTCCATCATAACTCTGAAACACAATAATTTTTAGGAATTAATAATAGGTAAGCACAAAGAGTATACTTTTTGTGAGAAGTTTGGTTGTCCAATGAGTGATGATCCAAGGTTAAGTTTTCTTGACATTTTTATATTAAACAGAATGGATAGGAAAGACTATCAACTCTTTTCCTAGGTAATGCTGAGAAATTGCATAACTCTCTTTTTATTTACTAAGCATTGTGAGGTCAGGTGTAAGAATTTAGGTAAGACATTTGCATCCTTTACATACACACCAGTAAGCAGTATTCTCTATGATTATGATACTTTGTCTTACCAATACACTCCTAATGTTTAATGAAATGGTCATCTTCAAGGGTAAATAAAAGACTACATGAATTGAACGTTGAAGAATTGACAGCAGTAACAAATCTTCATCTTTGTAGTAATTATGAGTGAGCTGAATATCATTCCTACTAAAATTGGCATTACTTCCGAAATCTTCAAATTATTGTTATTGATCAACATTCAACAATAGAACAGATCTTTAAGTTAAAATTATATTTGGAAGTTGTTTAGCCAATTCTAATACAAATAAAAATTGGGGAAACACTAAAATTGTCCTTCAACTGTAGGGAGAGATCCAACTGCATATACAATGCAAAGTACTTACCTTTTTAGATCTGATTAATTTGTGGTCTCTAAATTCTATAAGCTGAGCATTTAAAGTTAAATCACTGTTTACTAAGAAAGATTCTCGACATCTCTGATATAAATCATGAAATGACATTCCTGAAAATAAAATGGTAAACAGATATGCTAATATAAATATACAACATTCAAACAGGACATTTTAATCGAATAATTAATGCCATAGGGTTATGAACTATACTTCTCTGGGGCAGTGATACATTGTAGTAATATATCGGGCTTATGTTGGAAATTCAATATTTTGTATAAAATTCTGGACATACTCGCACAAGATCAATTTTATGTCAGTTATGAATTGTTTGCAACCACCTTCTTGTGGCAGATAGAACTGTCCATTATATTGCTCCAAAGATAGGTTTCTGTTAAGCATAGCTTGGACAGTAATTGTTGGATGGAATGTAGTTTAGCTACATTATATCGCTAAACTTGTAGAATTCTTTGAATGGCACTTAGTAATTGTAACACAATCAAATAACACACTTCTTATGGAATATGAAATGAAATGGGGTTTAACGTCCTACTGTTCTGCTCCTAAACTGGGCTAATGAAGATGGGCATACGCCATACAGTGTGCTATGAGGGAAATTTTGCTCGGGCAGCGGTGCTACGGCCCATTCTTTTATATCAAATTCCAACTGCCAAGGGATCTTTTACGTGCACGGGACCTTGGTTTTTCGTCCCATCCAAACGACTAGACAGCTGTACTTGTCAGGCCCTCCGTCCTGCATCACTGACAAGGGGAAACCACGCCGGAAAATCTGGATGAACTTTCTTGGCCAATGCAGGGATCAAACACCCGACCTCCAGGCTAGCGAGCAGCGTCTTACTCACTTAGCTCTTATGGAATAACAATTACTATGGTTTATTTCACTATGTGACATTTTAACAAGATTGCAAGCATATATTGTGTATATGCTTGCTAACGACTTGTGAAATCTTGTTCAAAGGTTACAGTGAAATAAACCATAGTAATTGTTATTCCATAAGAAGTGTGTTATTTAAACTTGTAGAATATAAAATATATTTACCTATATAAGTACTGTTATCTTTATTTTCTAACTGGTGTTTGGATAATAATAAGAATATGCCTTTAGCATTAGGTGTTAAACTTTTCATAACATGTGTTAAAGAACTGAGAGCTAATGCACCAGATTGTTGTACAAGTAGAGAGTTTTCATAAGATGTCTCTGATGAATATGAGACATATGTTGTACAATCATACCATATCCAATTATATCGACTAGATTTAGTATGATCCCAAACTGAAAAAAAAAGTAGCAAGTTTTATAATTTCAAGACAGCTATAAAATTATTAACTTACATTGTACATTCAAGTGAAGTTAATAAAATAATACATAATATCACAGCATTTATTAGCTGCTTTTTAAAATTATAATTTTAAAATAGCTTTAGAATTTTTCACTTTCCAGGTTCTTAAATGTAAATTAAACTGAAATTGATCAAATACGATATGTCATGACATCTATTCGTTTACTTTCTATTTTGCCATGATAGACTTAAATAGCTTGACATACTTATATAACACATAAAATACAATGTCACAAAAATATTTTAGTCATTTTTTATTTCTTGATGGTTCTGTTTTTAAATACCACATACACATACCGGGTATATAAAATCTGATATATATTCTGAGTAGAAGTTATTCTAACCGCTGCATAATTCATAAGACTTTATATAAATAGATGCATGGGCAAAAACCAGAAACAACAGTAATGGCCACAGCAATGTTTTGTATTCGCTGTTTTATAATATACAACTATACGAACATGACACAATGATGAAACTTTAGAAATGTAAAATTTTAGTCAAATAAACATAAAATACAGATTATTAAAGTTACGTTCCCAGAAAAGTATTTATCAGGTGGTTATTTCCAATAAAAGTATGGCAATTTTGGTATATATGGAAAGTAGAAATATCAAATCTTACTAGAAAAATAATGGATTCCCTGAAAAACACTCATGGAGCACATACAGGACAAAAATATACGGGTTTCCCTAATCGACAGCCCGACGATTAGGAGTGTCTGCACGCGTGACGTCGAAGGTTGCACGCGGAGATTGAGCGCTTGATGTACATGTTGATAAACTTTATGAAGAGTACAACACTTTCTGAGATAAAAATCACGGAAAAAGACGCGGGCAGTGGATAATCCGACAATTTAATTAGGCTTCGGTATTTGTAATAAATAGTCAGCGATAAAGGCAACATCGTCTTGTTTATGCATTGAATTCTCCTCTGACCTCGCACCCGTTGTGTCACGTAACACAAACATGACCTCTTTTGATCGATTTTTTATAGCCGGCTATTCCCTGACAATTACAATGTTTTGAGAAGGATTTGAAGCAAAATTATAATAAATTAATTAGTTTGAATATGTTTCTAGTCCAAATATATCATCAAATCGCCCAGTTAGTACCCAGGAATGTATCTTTAAACAAAAGTAAACCAAAAGTGAATTGAAAACATCTGATTTTAATCAAACTGTTTGTTTTTTTATTTAGTTTTAAAATTTTATACTTACTTAATGGTGCATTTATATGATCTATTGAAGCTATGATATGAAAACCTCTAATTTGAGCCAATAAACTAAGTAAGTTCTGTACCTTCTCTGATCGTAACATATTCCCATCAATATTATGAATAATGAGGTAAAAATCTTGATAATCTGTACAATAGAATACAACATCGTATTAGTTCACAGTTTTATTCTTTTCGACAATTGCTTTTTAGTGTTGGCTTGCAGTTCAGGAAATAGCCAAAGTACCTCATATATGTCTGTGGAAGCCTCTTGATATAGAAAGCAGTCACTATATCTAGACTAGAGTACGGTACTATAGCTTTAGAAATAAAAATCTCTGCTGGTCATTTGGGAGATTTGTAGAGTACAATATCGTGAAAGTCAAACCTCTGAAAGTATTATCTGTGTGAAATTATTCTAATTCCATTCAGTATATACAAGACATTAATTGAATATTTTTCCAACATTTGGTGGCTACCTACCTGATTCTTCAAAATGATTTTTAATAAATTCATATTGGTCTAATGGAGTTTTAAATGTATCATGTACATCAATTATATCTTCTTTTATTACATTTAATATCTACAAAAAAACAAGAGAATGCAGTTTGATGAAATTAAAATACTGCTTACTCTTTCTAGAATACATGATACCACTTCCCCTTTTGTTGATTGTAATATCTGTTATCTAGGCAAGACTTATGTTTGATCCCCCACTTGTATATGACAAGACAAGACATCACATGTCACCCTTCCAGCCTTGTGGGGTTTCTTTGGTCCCCTTCTGCTGCGTGCCAGCAAATTATTAAATAGTTAGTTTTGAATGGACATTAAAACCCCACTTTCTCTTTAACTTTCAAATCCAAACTATTGCTTCAGTTAGCTACAAATAGGGTATCATGCATGGAACAAATGAAATGAAATGGGGTTTAACGTCCTACTGTTCTGCTCCTATACTGGGCTAATGAAGACGGGCATACGCCATACAGTGTGCTATAAGGGAAATTTTGCCCGGGCAGCGGCACTATCGCCTACTCTTATATCGAATTCCAACTGCCAGGGGATCTTTTACATGCATTCCAATATATAAACGGGACCTCGGTTTTTCGTCTCATCCGAAGGACTAGACAGCTGTACTTGTCAGGCCCTCCGTTCTGCACCACTGACAAGGGGAAACCACATCGGAAAATCTGGATGAACTTTTTTGACCAATGCAGGGATCGAACACCCGACCACCAGGCTAGCGAGCCAGCGTCTTAACCACCTAGCCACCGTGGCTCCCATGCATGGAACAAGGTATGTTTACACTTTCTTGAAATGGGGTAAAACCTCTGTTCTTCTCCTACTGGACTAATAAAGACGGGCATACACCATACAGTGTGCTATGAGCGAAATTTTGCACGGACAGCGGCAATACGGCCTACTCTTATAACGAATTCCAACTGCCAGGGGATCTTTCACGTGCACACCAATGTGTACACAGGACTGCGGTTTTCCATTCCATCCGAACGACTAGACAGCTGTCCTTGTCAGGCCCTCTGTCTTGCACCACTGACAAGAGAAACCATGCCGGAAAATCCTGTTGAACTTTCTATCTTAGCAACCGTGGCTCCCACTTTCTGGAACACCTGACACTACTTCTCATTTGATTGTTAGGTTCACACAGCTAGGGAAGTGGGTTGCACTTTTTAGTCCCAATTAACTATACATAAAATTTTGTAAAGAACTCTTGTATACCGGTATATACAAATTCATTATACATGTACTTACATGTTTAATGGTTAAACTAGGAAAATATCCATTAACGACAACATGATTAAAATCAGCTATATGAGACTTTCTAAATTCTTCTAATAATGCTCTTTTAGATCCTAGTCCATATAGTAATACATTAAAACCATTGCTGAAATAAACAGTTCTCATAGTTCACATTGGTAGCTTGGAAAAAAATGAACAAAAAAAGTAATGTCAGTTGTGAATACATCTCTAACAATTTTTATATTAATTTGGGTTTTCCAATTTTATAAATAAAGGGATGCTCGATTCACAGTCCAGAACGTCCCGAATTGACAGAATTGCAATCGAGTGACGTGGAATTCAGTACTGTCACAGTTCTGTCAGTCCCGACTACGGAGGTGGTGTGAGTAGAATCGTGACGTAATTAAACACAACGAATATGTTTCGGCTGCATGGTTGGTTGATATATTTAATTATCCAGTCAACGCATGCGTTGTAGCCCTAAATACCCCTTTTCACTTGATTGTCACTATTTTGGGGATTGGGAGAATTCAATTCCGGGACGTTCAATCGAGTACCACCTAAGTCAATAATGATACCCCAACAAAGTCCAGACATCCTTACGATTAAGAAAAATTAGTTATTTGTATGACAAATAAATAAAAGAAAAGAGTCTTTGAAGACAGGAATTCTAATTAGTACTGTAGCGATTCGATTTTAAAGATGGTTGAGGAGGTACCCATACATCCACATTTCAAAATGAGTTCAAACTGAATAGAAGTTACAGAAGATATGTACTGCTGTAACTCACATTAGAGTTATCTCTAAAGTTTGCTACTGGATAATCTTTATAGCTACTTTAATCTGTATAGTTATATCTATTCATGATTTAATTGCATGTCAGCCATTTGCTCAAGAGCTGAGAAAACTGCAAACAAAGCTAATATTTCTTCCTTAAATATAACTAAAGTACAATTCCCTGCTCACACTCAGTGCTCTAATTTCTTTCTTTCAGAATGAACAAAATTTGAATGAGATATCAAAACACTACACTAACCACATATTAAACATCCATCTAGAGAATTGAACAGCATGATCTTCTATCATTTCTTTAGATTGTATAGGATGACTTGTAGACACATTTATTAGAAGTTTATTCAGGGCTTCATGATCTAATCTAGGTGTTTCTAGCTTAGATAAAGTTCTATCAGAAGTTATAGCACCTCCTGAATGAATGTCAAAATAATCCTCAGCATTTGTCGTCTGCAAAAAAAAGAAGAATAATAAATTATATGATTAGTTATGTATCTATCCATCCTTTTTCGAGCTGAAATAAATCTTAATGAAAATCATCAAAATGAAAAACTACCCACTGTGTTTGTATGCATAGTAGGTAGTCTCTTGAATTTCATGATTTTTTACGATTACGTGGTATCAAACCTTGAAATATGATTAAAATACAGATCTATATTTCGTTTCGTTTTTTTTATACTTTCGATGGCCCACCCTACATGGAGATCTGACCAGCTGTACAGGGAGGTCGCGTCATGGGTCATACAAACAGGTTTTGACCCTATGATGTCAGACATTTGATTAACCAATCAACATTAATGTTACTGGTGCAAAACATGCCTAAAGCTCGCCGTAACAGGCTGTTTCATTGGCTAATCTCTCACACCATTCAGAACACGTCAATGATAACAACTGTTCCAGATCCTAGTGTAGTAAAGACAAGTAAAACAAAATTTTGAACTATAAAAACGATACGAAATAGGATCTGTGTTTTAACCAGATTGAATCTAATTCTATTTAACAATCTTATTATACCTCTATAAATCTGAATCATTAAATATTTTAGTAAAATGATTTTAAAATTTCTAAATTTGCAAAACATATCTATATATAATATACATCCAGAAATATTAGCACAACCGTGAAGCTGCACTACTTTGTTTCACGGTAAACGATGAAAAGATAGAAGGTATACCGACACAAACTGATTTCAACACTGGTTCAATATCATTTTAAAGTACTTTTTGTCCGTCTTGGTGCTATTCATATGTATATCAATAAATTTAAAAAAAAATCAGTTAATGCATCTTTGGATTTGGAGACTGTTCACCTCAAGGACTATCTTGGCTATTTCTGTGGAAATTCAAAATATCTGCTCTGTAAGAATATTTACGAAGATATTCCAATATCTTACCATTTCTTCAGTAGGTATATTTTTCCTTCTAGATGAAGTCTGTTTTTGATTTATCTTGGAAGGTTTGTCAGAAATGTTGGAGTCATCTGAATCACTTTCACTTGTTATACTGTCATCAGATGAAGTGTCACCTGTAGTGAAATTTAGCCATAGTATAACAGTAAACACATTTATGTGCTATATATTTACAGGTGCTATCATTACTAGTCATCTAGACAGGGCTTCAATATAAGACTATGATGAAAATACCCCAAAGAAAACAGGAAATGAAATGGGATTTAACACCCTACTGTTCTGCTCCGACTGGGCATATAGGTCATACAGCTGTGTGCTATGAGGGAAATCTTGTCTGAACTGTGGCACTACTCTTATATCAAATTCCAACTGTCTTTTATGCGCACATCAATTTCTACATGGGACCTCATATTTTTGTCCCATCCTAATGACTAGACAACTGTCCTTGTCAGGCCCTCAGTCCTGCACCACTGACAATGGAAAAGCACCCCCAAATTAAACAACTATTATTATTCCTCTAATTCTATAAAACAAAGAATGACATGGTATTATTTGATCATGCTTATAGTGAGATTGGAAACCTGATAATTTCTGCATACATACATGTATTTGAACTAAAATGTATAAAAAATCTACATTCATTGAATTTCAAATTACCATCAATATTTCTTTTGCGTAATCTATATGGTGTTGTTGCCTCTGGACGTCTGTTATTTCGGTCGGTTTTGTTTGGAGTTTGAGCTGGAAAATAAAGAGCTTATGTTCATATTTGATTTACGTTCATGCTAATGTTTCAGAACTGACTTACGTTCAGATCTTACTTATGTGCAATAATCTTCATGTGTATCATATTCATCGTCATCAATTGATGAATATCTAACTTTTACGCTACCTTTATATATGGTGAGCTGAAGTACTTATGTGAAGCATTTTAGAAACATGAAGTGATTTTTGTGCATGTTTAAGAATCAGCCCACATGTAGAGTATTTGTAGTTTGGCTTACAATAAATATCTGTTCTCACCCTGTCTCGAGGAGAGGGCAAAGAAAGTTCTTAAGGATTTTAAAGTCCAATACAGACCTTTACATGTACAATACATATCTCATATACAATATGTATAATAATATATTGGTAACTTTCCAAGTTACATGTTGTTGTTGAAATCTTATGTACGTTAATGATAACATACGAGTACATGTTTATATGAATTTTGATCAAAAGTGCAGAGACACTCTACATTATTCTTTATCAACATGAGTAGTCTTAAACAAGTAATATAATGGAAAGTGGTTAGACCATAATGTTTAATTACCTTCTTTCATAACTCGTTTTTTTCCTGGAGTCGTTCCTTTGGATTTTGGAGTTTTAACTGGGGTGCTTTTACTACTGACGTCTACACTTTTGGGTGTTTTAACTTCAGAAGCTGTAAGATTAAAGTAGAAACATATAGAAATGGACATGTCTGGTAAACCAGCAACAATGTTGTCCATACTAAATCTATAATCATTGTCAATAAATCCAAAATGAAAGTTTAATCAAACTCATTATAAATCCTGTACTAAGCTTTTAATGTATGAGTTTGTGCACAGATTTAACGACAAAATATGAAAGGAAAAAAAACCCGGCCATATGTGTTTGAAATTTAAGATCTGAAAATTTTCAAATCCAGAATTTTCTGAATTTTGATAACATTCAGATAAACCACCCCTGGAAAAATAGGCAAAAATTCTGAACAGACACCTGGATTCAATTTACAAGGGAAATTGCAAATCAGTTAAAGTGTAAGTATATATCTACCAATTCCAAGAATCTAGTTTCTATATACATACATCCTTCATTACTTACCTTTCAGTGCCATTTGACCAGACTTTTTAGGTGTCCTAAAATTAAACACTTCACTTCCAAGCATAAGACCCTCATCTGCCTCCAATGCTACAAAGAATAAACAGATTTATAAGACAACAAGCCACAGTGAGGCTCATGTCCCCCATTGAAATCCCAAAATAAATAGATGACATATATTAATTAATCGCACATTTATTTTTTTCAAAAGTATCGAGCCATCAAACTGATTACCTACCATACACTAAGTTTCATCACTCTCTATCAGATATAAACAAAGTTACATGTATCTTTCCCCAAAGCATCGACCAATGAAATTGCTTAGCTCTGCTTAGCTTTAGCTCAAAATGTTAATCATTGAACTCTGTCAAGACATTCACCTAAAGAACATCTACATCAAGTTTAAACATTCTATCTCCATTAGCCTAAGCAGAAAATTCTCACCATCGAACTTAGTCTCTATATTTGGAGTTTCACCCCTCTCACTTCATTTATTATATAATATAACCAAAGTTATCGTGCCCCAAAGCATCAACCAATCAGATTGCTTATTTCTGCTTACCGTAAGCAGACAATGTTCATCATCGAAGTCCATCAAGGCATTCACTTAATGAACGCCTACACCAAGTTTGAACATTCTACCTCAATTAGAAGGAGGGTTATTGTGTTCCAAATTCTCGGCCAATCAAATTGCTTATCGCTCTGCTTACCCTGAGCAGAAAATGCTCATTATCGAACTTAGTCAAGATATTGATGTAATGAAACTATACACTAAGTTTTATCACTGTCACTTAATTAGAACTAAAGTTATCGTGTCCCATGACATCAACCCGATCAAATTGCTTATCTCTGCTTACCCTAAGCAGAAAATGCTCATCTTCGAACTCCATCAAGGTTTTGACTTAATAAACACCTACACCAAGTTTGAACATTTTAGCTCAATTAGAAAGATAGTTATTAAGTCCCAAAAAGTGTGACAGACAGTTAGACAAACAGACGGACAAACCCATTTTAATAATCCCCTGCTTTCTTCGACAAAAATAATATATATCGTCTGCTATAGCGCTGCATGCTACTGTGTCAGTACAAATTCATGCATATATTCATTAGTGACATGGGGGGGTTGGATGGCCGAATGGTTAGCACGCAGTCTGTCATTGAGTCAACTGGAGGGGTTTCGATTCCCCAGTTGTACGTGACGAGGAGTAGGGTCGCTTGTCCAACCTCGTGGGTTTTCTCCGGGTCCTCCAGTTTCCTACCACTGCTAAAGACCCCTACGCGCAAGCGAATGATTGAAATAAAATTGAACCATGTGTTAGACCCGAAATGGACTAGTTTGTGTCGAGTGGACGTTAAACCCCATTTTTCTGTCTCTCATTAGTGACATTTTATTTCTCAATCTTGCGTGGTACTTTGACAGCTCACATATTGACCAGTTGAAATCATTAAGACCCTTTAATACTTTATAAAATTAGTTATGATATAAATACTTGAAATCATATCTTTTTTAAATACAAAATAAGTTAAATTAGTGACCTGTATGACGACTGACAAGGTTAATAAATACATTTTTGCCGCTGGGGTTTATAATCGATCTGAAAATAATTCCAGCCAATAATACTATGAAGTATGCAAGATTGTTTGCCCTCGTGCATTCATGCTATTAGTCAATAGTTACTATATAAATTTTCCCACGTTTAGACGATTCTAATCAATGATAAAAATTTAGCTGTTTGGCAGTTTGGCACACGTAGCGATCCTCGATCCTTTTCTTATTGTAATATATACAAATATACAAGAAAGACGTAGGGGCCTAATGCCACTGTTCTAAACGGTCGCCGTCTTCTGAATAGCGATAATCTGCCAGTTGATGTTATGAAAATTATACTCATATCAAACACTATGAAAACCATGCATACGGATACAATAATTCAAAGCATCACTCAATACACTTAATTATAATCATTATGAATCCAATGCCGTGTGGGTGACTCAATCAATGTCGTGTTGACGACTCAACCAACGTATTTTGATATTTATAATTATAATTTGTGGACGACTGGAGTAGACTCTTTGTGTGGACGAGTTTGCTTGTGAACGATATGTTAACTGGCATTCTACATATACATTTAGTATTATTAGTTTTACTTACTACAAGGCGTAACAAGTACATCATCATCACCACTACTTTCTTCACTGATCTGTGCATCTTTTGATTTCTTTCTTTTGCCTTCTATTCCACTACTGTAGGTCTGACTTCTGTGCTTTTTTCTCGCTGAAAAATACAAGTATAGAAAATGTACATGTATGCCTTTACAAAATAAAATATCAGTACGACTAATTCATAACTAATAATGTTTCTACCTACGTACAGACTACAAATTGGATTTACATTTACAATAAAGGACACTACCAGGTGATCTTTATCAAAATGGACGATTCCGATTATGGAAATTCTGATTTGATTGACTAAAAAATACAGTATCATGATCTATTCACTATCAGTGGTATCAGTAATTATTACTAATTAGATCACAGATGGTTTATAATTTTACTGTATATAATATAAATTAATATCTTTATTATTATTCAGTCTTCGTTTCACTACTAAAACTTACTTGTTTTTTTCTCTTCAAGAGGAACTATATGTTGAACAACATTATCATCACCAGCAAATGTAACAGAAACTTTTTTCAAGCGACTTGTCTTCATTGTTGACTTTGTTAAGTACACAATTTTCTTATTTTGCTAATAAATTTATATTTTGCGGGAAACATGGAGAGTTCACTTCATTAGTCTTTTGATTCAAAAGAGTCGTTTAAGGGGAGTAACTCTATTTCTCTAACGTGGGCGTGGCACCTGTGTCAAAATAGGTTAACATTTTTTAAAAAGCAGAATGAAAGATAAAAATGGGGTTTAATGTCCACTCGACACAAGCTAGGTCATTTCGGGACTAAACCTTGAGTGAGGATGAAAACTATGCAACTGTTTCAGAATGGTGAAATAATATGATGAATCGATTCTTTTATGTGATCAATGTCTTCATAAGTTTAGTGATCAAATTTGTGTCACTTGATTAATCCATTATTATTTATTTATTTATTTACTTGAAAATGCTATTATAGGTATGCCAATTAAACAGCAGGAAGTAACCAATGTTACTACAAAAAAACCCAAAAAAACATACAAAACATTGACCGAATGATGTCCAAATGTCATTCCCCCAAACCCCTTTCTTTGTGGTCTCTATGCAAACTCTGCTTCTACATCAAAGAATTGTTGACCATATGAATTTGATGATGAGTAAGTAGGAACAGAACTGTCCAAACAAAACCTATCACTGCATGTGTTAATCTCAAAATAACTAAAATATTGTGTTGATGAGAACTTAAACTCTATTATACCTATCTTGTTTTTAGTTTCATGACTGCAGTTGCAATATCCGGCACTACTGTCACTACATAGCACTTTAACCCTTTGGTTGATTCAAATTACAGATATTATCAATTTTCACAAAGGAAATAAATTAAGTGTGTTTAACTTTATATATTCTTTCTTACATGACAAGGCCTATATATATCACATTTATTTACTTTTATAGGTCAAAATAGATAAAATATTAAAAAGACATTTTGTAATGATCCATGTATAACCAATGATGTCTGATCCCATTCATCTAAAGCCACTAGCTTTTCTTACTGATACTAAAGGTCAGTCTCCATTATAGATTACAAAATAATATTTCTAATTGTCATTATACCTAAGTCACCTGACCAGAAATCAGGATGACTTTGGGGTTGTCAGTCAGGAAGGCATTAGATTCTTTCACTGATAATGAATCACATCTTATATTAAAATTCCTAGTCTATGAATATAAATGTGCAATTTAGCCAATTGATCCAACAGTGGCTGGCGACAATCTCCAATGTATACTCAAAAATCATCATCATTCCTCAAATCTATGACAAAATGAAATCATTCTATGTAGTATTATTGTCTACCATATAGTCTTTCTCTTGTAATGTCATCATTTTTATGTATACAATTCAATAGTGTCTATAATTATTAATTATTCTATTGCCTCAATGGGGATTTTAAATATATAAACTACCAGTAAATTGATGTTCTTTTTTAAATTGAACATAAAGATCTATTCACTTCTATTATTTCAGATATCAAACCTATATTGGTGGTACTGAATCAAAGAATTGATGAAGAAATTCATATCTTTAAACATGTTTGGAAAAATGGTAATTCACTTATGGGGCCATATATACTTAATACAATACAACTAGTTTAATTGTATGGTGTCAATGCCAAATTAAACACATGGAATATTTTATAAATATATTTTATTCCAGAAGAAATTATCAAATTATTTTATTTTTTGACATCTCTTATTATTTTCAAAATATTTAACTTTACATACATGATCAATTGCTCCTTAAAAATAATACCCAATATTTATTCACATGAATATCACAATGGATATTAAAATTCCCAACCTTTTATATTCTTAATGTTTATTTGAAGCTGTTATGAAGATTTTTGTTGATGGAGCAACAAACAGAATTTATGATTCTTTTGGGGAAGATAAAACTAAATTTATACCAGATCTGATTACAGGAGATTTTGACTCAGCCAGACCAGAAGTTCTAGAATTTTATAAAAATAAGGTAAATTTCTGTATGAACTCTTTGAGGGTTAAATGGTGCATTCAAATATAACTGCCAGATTGGATTATCTTAAGATATTGCAGTATTGATTTCAGACCCTTAATATCCCACAATGCCGATACCTAGATCGCTAAAATATCAAATTTTTCATGGCTTAATCCACGCTAATATGTACTCAGATTGATTATTTGATACTTAATTAAGAAAACAAAATAAAAAAAACTAATGCCAGATAATGTCCAAACATGGATTAAAAAATAGGCCAACCATAAATTTTCACGGACAATATGGTGCTTATCATATGTCTTTGTAAATACTGAACGGAATTGAACCATTTTTACACTGTTATTCCTATTAGAGATTCATAGTTCACAACACAATATTGTAGTTTGCTAGTGATTCACATAGCACTATAATGGCACATCAGGACTTTTAAATAAAAAACTTAGACAAAGAAACATGAGAGTTGGTAAAGTACCTCATATATCTAGGCATCAGAGTCATGCCTATGAAATATCGCCAAAATGCAAACCATGATCTAATAGTCCAACTAAGAGAATCAAAAATTAAATCTTTGCAGGGTTCTCAAATTATTTCGACACCTGATCAAAATTTTACAGATTTTACTAAATGTCTTCATGAAGTATTTAAACAGGATAAAGATAAAGAGGTAAGTAATTCAATAAGATTTCTATATTTATTCAAAAATTTTCAGCAGTACAGTTATTGAACTTCAATGATAGCTTGCGTCATCATTAGTCCAGTTAACTCCCATTTCATTTCATTTTAGCGCTTATAAGAGTGCTGAGAATAATAATAAGCATATTTACTATGTTTTGTTTTTTATTTGCCTAGAAAAGTTTACATTATCTCACTTAAAGTGATTCTAATTTCTTATTTCAGTTTGATGAAATTATAGTTTTGGGTGCCTTTGGTGGGCGACTTGACCATGTCTTTGCTAATATTAATACATTATTTGAAATTCAGTCAATGAACAACAAACCTGTATATTGCATAGCAGATGGTAATTTGGCTTGTTTAATTCAGAAGGTAAGAAAGTATTGAATTGAAATTTTTCTTTTTTTTTTGCCATCTTGAAGTCTGTTATTGTTATTTGAGGAATTGAGGAATCTCTTGCAAAATGCAATATGGTGAAAGTTGAATCTCTAAAAGGAGAGAGAGAGAAATGGGGTTTAACGTCCACTCAACACAAACTAGGTCATTTCGGGACTAACATATGGTTTAATTTTATTTCAATAATTCGCTTGCGCGTAGGGGTCTTTAGCAGTGGGAGGGACCTGGAGAAAACCCACGAGGTTGGACAGGCGACCCTACTCCTTGTCACATACAACCGGGGATTCGAAACCACGCCAGTCGACTCAATGACAGACTTTATGATACAGCGCGCGCACGCTAACCATTCAGCCATCCAACCCCCCCGAATCTCTAAAAGGAATATCAGTGCAAAAATGGTTCAATTCCCTTCAGTATTTACAATGATATCATGAATTGATCACTTCATTCAGTATCCTCTACAGACGATATATATTCTGAATATGGTCAAAAGCCAACACAACATGTAATCTACGCTAAAATCTTTTGATAGGCCTCTTTAAGACCATTTGAATTTAAGTCTAGAGTTTATCCACCATTGATATTTTCATTTTGTTTTCTTAATTAAATGGTAATTTCTACATAGTAAACTCCCGATAAATATTTTTACAGACCAAAAGGTCTGTCTGTGAGGGAAGTGCTTGTATGTGACAAGCACTAGGGTTACATGTACCTGCCTAAATTTGTCTGTGTTTGCTGGGTCTCCAACCGTATAGTCCTTCGGATGTGATGAAAAAACGAGTAAATCTTGAAATTGCAAAAAGATCTTTCTCGTTCTCTGCTCCTCTCTTATGGAATTCATTGTCTTACAACATTAGAACCATTGACTCCTTGGATACATTTAAATCTCATCCAAAGACGTTCCAGTTTCCATAGTTCAATAGAGAAAACATGGAAAGTGCAATAGAAACTTCTGTTTTAGTATTATTGCTCTATATAAATAGAGGATTATTAGTTAGAATTTGATATAGGAGTAGTCTGTAGCAATGCTGTCCGGGCACAATTTCTCTTCCGTTATTGCACACTGTGTATGCCCGTCTTCATTAGCCCAGTCAGAGCAGAACAGTAGGATATTAAACCCGATTTCTTTTATATTAATGTGGCAGAGATTGTCAAGGAATTTTGCTAAACCTTACATATTTAGTGGCGTGGACAGAACAATTGTATTCATGTACTTACTTTTATTTAGGGTAAAACTGTTGTTAGTGTTAACACTGGATATGAACTCGAATACTGTGGCCTTATACCCATTGGTCAACCTGTTAGTCATGCGACAACTATGGGGCTCAAATGGAATTTAGGTAATAATATATATTTAGAGTAAAGATTTGATATTTTTATAAATATATGTTCCGAGTTAAACAGATAATAAATGTTGATATTGATTTATTCAAACTGTTGCATATTTATTTTGTGTAAACATAAAGTAATAATTATGTGATGTATTTTCTCAACATTGCCAGTGATGGGCAAATTTAACTTTGATTGAAAATTTAATGTATTACAATAATTATTTTATATTATCAAAAAGATTGCATGAAACCATAACTGCAGTTTACTATTTCTAAGCTTTATTTATCAAAGAATTATTTAAACATGTTGTGCCTGTATATTGAGCCAGATTTGGTATGTAATCTATTCTGGGTTCAACTATATACTGACAGATAAATAATGTAAAAACACAACTATACCCTATGAAAACAAAATGTATTCATACCAAACTTGTCCCATCTCTATTTTGACTTACTATAATTCAAAGAGGTTTAACTCCTTTAATTTTGTCAACTAAGGCCACACCAATTTCACTTTAGGTTCTTCAGGAACACCGTTTAACATTCTTCTTCTTTTTTTGGGAGGGGGGGGGGAGACTAATTTAAAAACCAAAAGTTTCTGGTTGCACTGTTCAAAAGATTTTAGTTCCGAATTTCAAACTAACACCTTTCATGTGATTCAAGTCATGTTGTGATTAATTTATCAAGATCCCAAAGAACTGGAAATTAAATTGGTTTGGCCTAAGATCAGTTTTTAATTTACAGAAAATCAAGAAATGAAGTTTGGAGATCTAATCAGTACATCTAATACATATGATGGTAGTGGAAGTGATGTTACTATAGAAACAAATGAACCAATATTATGGACAATGACATATAAAAAACCATAGATAATTTTTAATGTTTTTATACAAAAAAACAATTGATATTATGGACGATGTCATACAAAAAAAAACCACAATTTTCTTATTGATTTTTTAAAATCTTGTTATATTTTATTGTTATATTTTCTCTTTATAAAAATGGATGGACTTTAATAATATCCCTTGATGAATTGGCTATATAAATTGTTTGTATTTTATAATTTATTAGTTTAAAATTTAATATACATGTCTCCTTTGTTTTAATCTTGAAGGCCCATGTTGACCACACAACCTCAATGACAACTTCAATATGCTAATAAACAGATACCATAGTTTTAAAATTAAAGTAAATGACAGTTTTGACAATCCATCTCCGCTGTCTGCTACATTGTGATTTGCTCTGACAAAGAATGTAAACTAAACCAAATGAAGAATAGTTCTGGAAATACTTATTCATAGTAATTGATTCAAAACCTAAGACTTGTCAATCTTAAACAATGACCAGCACTTTGGCGACATGAAGTTATGATGTTATCATTGCAGTTATTGTGCTTGATAGACATTGGATAATCCAGTCAAGTTGTCAGAGTCATGCTTAATGAAACAATACCTACATCCCTAATGACCAAAATGGAATGGGGCACATCTTTTTGTTGTAGTAATAAAACCCTGCAAATTTAATTCAAATTGTTAAATAATTTCATGCCGTTTACTAGCCAACAACATAACCAACTTTTAAAGTGTACAAAAAAAACATTATGGTTAAAAAAAAAATTAATTTACTTTTCCAACTTGAGCGAGATGTTGAATAAAGTTGAGTTATGTATATTGAGCAAATTAACATTAATCACAATAACAGCTATAATACAAATGTTGTCATAATCAAATTACATCTAGTGCTTTTGAGAATTTTAAAACATCAACAAGGGTTAAGCCTATATCTGTTTTCAATGATTTATAAAAATATTCTGGCGCCCTTTGTTTTATGGCCTTCATCTCTAATAATAAAACTCCATCAATATTTACAAAACTGAAAATAGAAATACAGGTATACAATCTATGTAAATGTAAGTACATACATGTAATATGTTCATGACACTCTAAAACGAAATTAACAAAATAAGAATGGATTTACGTTGATAAATTACTTCAGTAAATCATGATAAAAGCATGCATTACAGTGGCTCTCTTTTACTCGAGGGGGCAGGGTGGATGGCTGAATGGTTAGCGTGCACGCGCTGTATCATAAAGTCTTGTCATTCAGTCGACTGGCGTGGTTTTGAATCCCCGGTTGTACGTGACAAGGAGTAGGGTCGCCTGTTCAACCTCATGGGTTTTCTCCAGGTCCTCTGGTTTCCTCCAACTACTAAAGACCCCTATGCGCAAGCGAATTATTGAAATAAAATTAAACCATACATTAGTCCCGAAATGACCTAGTTTGTGTCGAGTGGACGTTAAACCCCATTTCTCTCTCTCTCTCTTCTACTCGATGTGGGTAAATCAATATAAAAAAATATTTGAGTTTGTTTTGTTTCTAATTGATAAGTAAATTGAGTGAGACTATATGGAAATGTGAATTTAAACAATATTAATAAGCATCTTCAAGATAAAGCGGTCTGAATGTTAAAACCATAATGAACCAAATAATTTGTGAAATTCTGTATAATTTATCAATAACTTTTCATTGATAAATAAATTCACATATATAACTATCCTTACCATTGCTTGTAAGAATTCAATCCAATACTCTCTAACCAATCCGAGACTTGTTTACATGTCCAATATGAAATAGCTTGTCCTTTCATCTGAATACTGTTTTCTCTTGTAAACAATTTTGGAACAGTCATTTCTAATATACAAAAATACATTTTTACTATTATGCTTGATCTATTCAAATAATGAAAATTTGTGAAATAACCTGCTTTTCACTTTGATGAATTAAAAAATATTTTTTTAGACATTTGAAATCCAAATTGACCTGACCACTACAACTATCTATTGGTTCGTCAAAACTTAAAGAAGCTGTCTAAATCTTTTGGATTTAGATATAAATAAAGTATTAAACAGGTTTGATCGGGTGGTGTTGTGATTGGGTAAATTTTAAAATTTAAATTAAATCAACACTTTATTTTTCAGCCAAATTTTAGCCAGTTATTTTAAAATAGTCAGAAGATCTGAGACAAATGGAGCTATCTTAATTTGACAAGCATTATTATATGTGAAAAAAAAAAATAAAACAAATTATTTAAAGTCCTTTAGATTAAAAGAATAAAGCAAACTATTAAAAGTCCTTTCAATTAAAAAAATAAAGCAAATTATTAAAAGTCCTTTAGATTAAAAATATAAAGCAAACCAAACCATTAAGTCCTTTAGATTAAATTCTTTTAGCAAATTATTAAAAAGTCATAAAATAATTTACAAATATTACCTGTAAATGTATCTCTGTTTGCTGTAGACACCATTCCTCTATCACCTAATTCCTTTGTCAATTTATTAATTTGATAATCAAAATGAACTTCTTCACTGAAGTCAAAGTATAATCGTGTTCCAACCATCATGCCTAACCAACCATCAGGATAATATTTTTTCTGTACACGTAATGGTATAATATCTTTACGTAATCTATAAATATACTCTGCTTCTACAATGAAATAATATTTACTAATGAGTCACCAGTTTTTATAAAGGGAATATTTCGGCCTAACATGTTTATGTTACATGTATACTGAGCGCCATGGAAAACGCATCACTTTTTTTCCCAAATATTTTATTACTAGGTGGTTTTGTATGAACTATTGTTTCACACAATGCTCCCAAACGCAAAAAATATCGGCCCGTGGGCACAAAAAAAAAATTGCACGAGATGCACATGAAAACCACAATATTCACGTGCAGCATTGTGTGTGAGCCCTTTAAAATCATGTTTTCAACTTAATGTGCAGTACATGAACTGTGAAACATCAATCTGTCGTAATTTGTTGTTGGACGTGTGAAGGAATCGAGCTAGAGATGCCGAGACTTACTGATAATCAATGGAATGAAGCCATGGGAATGTCCAGGGCTGGCATGTCTACACGTGCTATTGCCAGACACTTCAATTGTCATCAGTCCACTATTGTAAGGTTGGTGGAACGTGTTCGAGTTACTGGATCAACACCTGACCATCAACGTCCTGGTCCACAACGCGATACAACCCAGGCTAAAGACCGCTACATCTGGGTGCAGCAGTCGTCAAAAGACAAGGACCAGTAAGTGCCAACACCGTAAGATGTTGTCTAAGAGAAGTAGGACTCCGTGCACGACGACCTTATGTTGGAGATATCCTCAGGGATCATCACCGTCAGCGGCGTTTGATATGGGCTCAAGGACACCAGACATGGAGAAGAGTAGACTGGCAAAGTGTGCTCTTCAGTGATGAGAGTCGCTTTCATCTTTATCACGCTGATGGCCATCAATGTGTGTCCAGACATCTTGAGGAACGTCTTGCAGACTGCTGCGTCTTCGAAACGAATCGATGGGGTGGGGGAAGTGTAATGGTGTGGGGAGGCTTCACATTTCATCACCGGACCGCCCTACACATTTGCAGGGGTCGCGTTAATGCTGTAGCCTACCGTGATGATGTCTTGCAACCAATTGTTGTTCCGATGTTTCGAGCGCACCCACAACTTCAGCACTTCCAACAGGATAATGCACGTCCGCATACCGCACGTTTTAGTATGAACTACCTGGCTGCTAACAACATCAATGTCTTGAACTGGCCAGCCATGTCTTCGGACATGGCACTGATAGAACATGTCTGGGATGAGATTGGACGCCGTCTGTAGCGTGACCACAGATGCACACCATTGCTGCTTTAGAAGCTGCTCTTGTCCAAGAATGGAACAATTTGCCCCAGGCCTTCTTTCAAACATTGGTAAATTCCATGCGACGTCGCTGCACAGCGTGCGTAAGAGCCCGTGGAGGACACACGCGCTACTGACATCTGTGTCATACTTTTGGTTTTGACCCCTCTGACTTTGTACCATTGATTACAGATTAAACATCCATAAGTGTACAAATGTGTTGTTATTGATGTGTTCCCATTTGAATATTGTTCACAATAAGAAGCAAAATAAATAAGATATGTTTACAGGATCATTTTGTTAAACGAAAAACTATGTGATGCGTTTTCCATGGCGCTCAGTAGATTTTACTACATTTATTTAAAGGGCATTCTATAAACTTCTTTTTAGAATCAATAATTTAAGCAATTGTAGTACATGCATATAAAGAACATAAATAAGAACTCCAGCTTTTCCATTTCCTTTATAATTTATGTTTTTCTAGTAATGACACCCCATTGCATCTGTCTTTTTTTAGACTAACTCATACTAGCTTTCATTTCAATGGTTAAGTGTGCAATGCAAGGGCGAGATTTTCCAAGGACAGCAATATTTCTGCCTACTGTTATTATTATTTACATGCACAACAAGGTTTTATAGTTTATTGTCCCACCCCAACAGACAAGTGAGAACCTGGGACATTCTAGTTGGAAGGCAAATGCCCTACCTGTTGTGTACCACAGCTCCCCCCCCCCCACCCCTGCTATAGGGTTGATGAGCAAGTTCATTTTGAGTTTTTCAAAGGGAAAGAGAGTATTCTTATAGAGAGTGGAAGACACAGAAGACATTTGAAATCAGAAGCCTTCATAACAAAATTTGAATATCGTTGTATCAGAATTATCAGTCTAGATGCGACAAACCTGTTCTACAGCTTGGTGAAGCTTTATATTTTTCTGACAAACATATCAGAACAACAGCTGACTTCTCTACTGCTAGAGCCATAGCTTCTAATGTTGAGCCACCTAAAATATCCAGTTCACGTAATATAATAATTAGCATTCTTGAATTGTAATTTTATATGATCGTTGCTGTCATCATTAGCCCAATCTGATTAAAATACAGATCTATATTTCGTTTCATTTTTTTATACTTTCGATGGCCTGCACTATATGAAGATCTGACCAGTTGTAGTAGAAGGTTGTGTCAGGGGTCAGACATTAACCAATCAGCATTGATGTTTTTAGTGGGATACCCACAGTTCATAGCACCGCATGCCAAGAACTCCATGTAAAAGACTGTTTTATTGGCTGATCCCTCACATCAAGACAAGTAAAACGAAATTTTGAACTATAAAAAGCGAAACGAAATAGGATCTGTGTTTTAATCAGATTGATTTATAGCCTGGTTGGTGCAGGAACGAATAACACTGACTAAACCCCATTTCATTTTATTTATATGACTCGCATAGTATGACAACAAGCTTTAGTCCACTTGAAACCAGGCAAAGAATATCTTTTTTACTAGAATGTCCCAGAAAAAACAAATGGAGGAAATAAAAAAAACTTTGCAAAGAGAGAAAATGAAAAAATCAACATCAAAAAGAACAATGTGTAAGTATTAAATCACTTATGACTTATTCGGCTTTAAGTGCAAAAGATAGTTTTACCTTATGATATATAAGCATGTATATCTTGTTTAGGCTACATCACTTTGCCACAAAAACTAAAATTAAAGTATCACATAAAATAAGAAAAGGCGAAAAAAAAAAACACAAAAAATATATAGATGTGTACTGAAGCAATAAACAAAATTTAAATATACAGCATTCTTGAGAATACATTTAGTGGGGAGTAGGTCATCTACACAGTAGTTACACTTTTTGAAATATAAGCCCCGACTATTATTTCATTCAGTGATGTGGAGGAAGAAAACGGAAGCTAACCCCTTCTTCATCTGAGGTGTTCACATTAGATAGTTCTATTTTTTAAAGTAAAGGCAATAACTAAAAATGTGTTTCATAATTGGGCTGTATAACAAAAGTGAAGTGCATCAAAAATAAACAAAATATAAATAAGACAAAAATCAAGTCTTATTTTACAGCACCCTACACAACATCATTCTACATTTTCTGCCCATGATCAACAAATCATGAATCAAAGATCAAATGAACATCAGTAGAAGATTGAATGTTCTTCCACTGGCCAATAACCATAACTTTATAAGTAAATTTGAAATAAAACAAGATGTGGTCCAGGAACCAAACGTGACATCATCGCAGACATCTTGGAATTTTACGTCATATCAAAAATTAAAGTCTGACAATCGATGCACACGTGGTTATCTTTCCATATTATATACCATACAAAATAATATATATCTAAGGAAAGTCTAATGGATGTGGTATCATAGTTCTTTACTTACTCATATGTTCGACGTCCATCCATACTTTAAAACCGGATTGCTTTAATCTTTCTTTTACTTTAAGCATTATAGGCTGTACATCCCATTGATAACTTATCATAATATGTGGACAATCAGCTTCTACTTCTGAAAATTTTAATATACATACACCACAATATAAAATGGTTGAAGTATAATATTATTCCCGTCTTCATTAGCCCAGTTCGGAGCAAAACAGTAGGACGTTAAACCCCATTTCATTCATAATATTATTCTAAACCAACCATAGCCATAGGTCATTTAAGATTATATAATGTATGTTTTGGCATAGTTTGTTCATCTACTAGCTCCAAATGGTACTCTTTCTAGACCACTAGATATCCCTTTTAATCCCCTTGAAAAGTTATGTTACATGCCATTACTCATAATGAGAAAGAGTGATGTGTTTAAATGTTTACATACATGTAACATTAATCGGGTCATTATGAAACTAACACCTATACTAATATTTGTGAACATTTTGCTGTAAGGGGACACAGATTGTCACTGTTAGTGTTGAAGACTTGCCTGTCCAGTATAAGCTGTGAAATAGAAATGTAATAAAAAGCTTACAATGTGCTGCAAGATATATATTATATACTAATATTTGTGATTGTCGTTTGTTTGTTTGTCTGTCTGTTTAGGGTTGGCGGCTACACTAGGGTTGTCCCAAGGCTGAAATTTGGTATATAGGTGTAGCTTGAACTGGGGAGTAACATAGGCCTGGTGGCAATGGCCTACCACTTCCGATTTCGGGGTTATGAGACTTCCGGTTCATGGCTGGCTATACCTGTGCTACGCCGGATCATCCACTAGTATGGTATATTTTTATTTCAAATATTCATTTCCAATCAGAGGTCTTTAGAAATGGCAGGAAATCAGAGTACCTTGAAAGAATACACAGACATGTACAATGAAGGCAGATCACCGTACATAGCCAGGAAATCCCCTCCAAACTCAGGATTGAACCCATGACTTGTTGGATAACAGACCTTAAGATCTACAATGTACAGTACAAGTAACAAAACATTGTCATCAAAACCTTCTCCCTCTCCTCCCCTTATTCCACTGTTATGAATTGTACCTTTATAAATATTTTGTTCTTCATTACTATTTATTTCCCATAGTGCACCTCTAGCTGCATGACTCAAGGTTTTATCTTTACAATTAACTAGATTATTCAAACCTGCAAAAAGATACATGTAATAAAATATAGTGAAATATGTTTGCAGATTGTTTGTAATTTATGCTATTATTAACAAAGGTAAAACAGCCGCCATGCCTTTATTAGGGTAACTGTTCTAATTTAACAAATTACACTTTATTGTCAACTTACATGTAATTGTTTTCGCAGAGAAGATAACAGAAAAAGGTATTTAAGCAGTTTCCCTGCAAGATACGCCCACATGTAGCAATAGATGGACTGAGAACTGGGAAATAGGGATCATCCTCATACTGATCCAATGCTTCACTCACATCGATATAGAAATACAATGTATGTCTGTTAAAAACTGTAGCCAGTATCGCGTTCACATAGTTTTTAGAAAAGAGGGGAAACTTTGGAACGGAATGTCACAGATATTTACAGCTGAATATCAATAGGGTTTGTCCTCTCATGACCATAAAGTTACACACCAAAAGGGGTGACAACATAATACAGCCACACAAAAATGTGGTTGTATAAAGAAGCATGGTTATCTCGCACACCCCTGTATCCACCTGTGTGAACAAGCTCTTCTTACTCTATGAACATTAGACTGTAGGTAAAGACACCAAGACACGTTATTGGACTAAAGACTATTACAGCATGTACATGTATGCACTACTTTCTTTGTTTACAGTGGATGACAGTTACCCTGATAACATACCAATCAGAATGATAACTAGTTAATTGAAAACAAAACGTTTTATACTTCAAGTTGAGCATCCTTAAATCTATTGCATAACTAGTAGGTCATGAATAAAATAATAACAAATCTGCAACATCTGGCCCCAAGTTCACAAAGAATTCTCAGACTTAATTTAAGCATTTACTTAAAATTGTCGCCTTATTTTAAAAACTAAAATATAGCCCTTTATAAAACTTTTGTTGTTTTAATGTATCAAATACATCAATAAGAAACCATGTGCAAAGTTTTGTGTTTCTGGATCAATGATATTTCTCATAAACACTGATTGAAAGTTGAGTAAATTTTTAACTTAAGTCTGAGAATGCTTTGTGAACTTGGGGCCTGGTCTTTGCTTTCAAAAGCCGATTCATGAAGCACATTCATTAGATTTATTACACTTTGTATATTCTTTATCAATGACCTTAAGTACATGCATTTCTGATTTCTGGATAAAAGATAACTACCAAAGTATCAAAAAGTATATTGAACATACACTACCTTCTTCACATCCTGGTTCACAAATAATTGCTTTACGATTAGCTTGATTGAATGCTAGAGTCCATAGCAACATGACTGCATAATACTGACAGTTCCTATTGTTACTCATCATTTTAACCAATAACGGTATGGCGCCACCTTGTACAATCTTAACTTTATTAGAATCATTAAAAGCAATGTTGTTCAAGCCTTCAGTCACTTCCACCGCTCCCATTCCAAATTTAGATGAGAAATTTGTAGCAGATGCCAAGCTGTCTCTTAACACGTTGATAATGAAACATATAGTACCTGCCGTCGCATTGATGACTTCATTTTCCTGCTCATCCACAATGTAAGATAAAGTTATCAAAGACTTTGCCTTCAACATCGGATGATCAAGAATCAAACAATTCTGCAGTATCTGAACTCCATTATGATTTCTGAGACAAAACTTTGCATCTTCATATTTACTAACTGTATTATGCAATATGCCCAATAATGATTTCACAAAATACAACTTTTTCTCATTATCAATAAAATCCGGACATTTTGAAAAACTGTCAAGCAATGCAGCGAACTTGGCTAATAGCGGACTTTCAGATATCTGCTGACAAAGTATAGCTGATGAATCACAGCAATTCCAAATAACTGATACAGCACTGCGTAAATTTTTCCACAGACTAATATATTTGGCATCAAAGGTGTCCAATTTTTCCTGAATTTTCCACAATTTCATAAACACAGAGAAGAAATCTTCACTAACGTAGGTGGCTATGACCATTTTACGTAATGAATCATTGGACGCATACCTTGACATTTGCCACAGGTATCTAAAATCTTCATAATACTCTGCTAAATGAATATTATTGTTCTCTTTAAGTCGCTGTATGGTCTCTTTAATCTTTATCCTAACAGATACTTCAGTTACTACTTCTGGAAACTTTCCATTCATCTGTTCTGAAAAACCAAATAAAAATACATCAATGTGGCAAATAATTATGTTTTGTCAGTTTGACCATAACCCGTAGTGACTCAAAAAATAACTTAAAAACATCAGTGAATATCAACTGATAATTATGAAAGTAAACTAAAACAGGTAAGTCAAAATTTTGGTTCTTTGATTTCTAACATGGATAGATAAACTAGCACGCAGCAGTTTTCATCAACCCTTCCTTGAAGTGTTAATTTTGACAATGAACCCCTCCCACGTGTATGTCGTTATTGCGTGTCGCATGTGCAGCTCAGTGGTTCTGTTGGGGCAATAAGTTCTTCATCTGTGAACATACTCTCAAAGCATGTCAAGTGTCCGTGACTATTTATCATATCGCAACCTGCATAGGCATTTGCATTTCAATATCCCCAACTTTTTTTGAAGAGTATATATACAATGGGAATAAAAAATTACCTTTTCTTATGGGAGGTGGAGGGGAATCAGAGCCTTGTCTGGTATCAGTATTTCCTGTGCCATGTAAGACAACTTTACTGCTTTCAGCCTTTTTGTTATCCATCTGGAATACAAATATGTAAAAATTTAGCACAATTAAAAATCAATAAGGGGGTGCTCAATCAAGCTTTAATGGAATACATGTATAATATTCCCTGATATTAGAGCTATGTATTAGATGCAATTTGTCAAAGATGACGAGATAATGGCACATCGAAATATGTTTTTCCTTCTGTATTTTAAATCACAGGTCCAGCATTTTTATACGCCCACATTGAAATGTGGACGTATATTGCCGTCGCCCCCGTCGGTCCGTCTGTCCGTCCATCGGTCCGTCCGTCCATCGTCCACAATTTCTTGTGAAAGCTCTAACGCCAAAAGTTATCATCCTGGCTGTATCATACGGTCTGTCATTGAGTAAACTGACATGGTTTCGATTCCCCGGTTGTATGTGACAAGGAGTAAGGTCGCCTGTCCAACTTTGTGGGTTTTCTCTGGGTCCTCAGGTTTCCTCCCACTGCTAAAGACCCCTGAGTGCAAGCAAATTATTGAAATAAAAATGAACCATGTGTTAGTCCCAAAATGACCTAGTTTGTGTTGTGTGGACCTTAAACTCCATTTCTCTCTCTCTCTTACAAACTTTAGGTTTTGGTTTTTCCTTTCCAAAAATTTAATTTTCAACCAGAATGTCATATTTGGAATTAGCACGATTCAAATTATAAGCCCGCAATATTGGTGGGATTCATTGTGTAAATCATGCTACCCTACTTGCATGATCGCAGCTTATTGTTGACTAACTACAAGAATTTTTTGCCACCTAGTAGGCTACATGTACATCGAATATTATGAATAATATAGAACAATATATAATCAACGGCTGCTTTAGTTTAAAACGAAATCTGCTGGATCCGATAATGCTGCAGTTATTCACGTTATAACTAGCTAATGCTTGATAGAACTATAGTAGTAATATAGCCTACATGTATTTAATAACTGCCCTGTTATATAGTGGAACATAAAAAGGTGAGATCAGATTGTGTTATCATTTCGGAATCAGTCAGCCAAACATTGATATTCTGGAGCAGTACGTTGATCCGGCTACTTTAGTACTTAGGGCTTAAACCAAGTAATGGTTAGGCCTAGGGTTAGGGTTAGTAGTCATTTCATTATTAGGACTTTTTCGCCGTGTTTATATTAAATTTGAGAACAAATCACTTAAACAGGTGAAAAATATACAAATAACCTGAATGCAACACTATTAGTTCACTGGTAAAAATAAAATGATGAATAAATATCTCTGATTGTTTTGATTTGGCATTGCCCACGCACCACCACCTTTGTTATGAACGGAAGTGAAATTATTGACCCGAGTGATTCACTTTTTAATGATTACATACGATGCAAATATATAAATTTCAAATACTACACAGTTATAATATTAATATAAAGTAGTATTACATTATCCTTAATTTATAAAAAATGTTTAATTTACAGCACATCAATTTTCTATTTTATTTTATCATACAGATTATAATAATTTTGTTTTGTCTAAAGAGTGCCAATGCATGAATCACTCGGGTAAACCGGATGTGTACAAATTGAAATGGAAACCCGCCGATTTCGATTGCAAGAAAGTGTATGTAAATAGAAAAAAGAGGCCAACAATGTAATAACTACACAATAGCACACAATTATGACCGTATTAGTTAGGTCAAGTATATCTTGAAACAGAATATTGCTTGTGTTTGAAATAAAAGCAAAGTTTTAATTAGGTCAGTAAACTGCAGCAGGTGTTGGTTGATGATAGGCCTGAAGTAATTGATTATACAGTAACATAGGCGGTAGCCTGCTCCTTGAAATGAAAATGTTTATTAAAGTAAAAGTGTTGGGTAGGCCGTAATATAAAGAATCATTCATTCTGAAAGTGAGAGAGAGAAATGGAGTTTAACGTTCTCTCGACACAAACTAGGTCATTTCGGGACTAACATATGGTTTAATTTTATTTTAATAATTCGCTTGCACATAGGGGTCTTTAGCAGTGGGAGGAAACCGGAGGACCCGGAGAAAACCCACAAGGTTGGACAGGCGACCCTACTCCTTGTCACGTACAACCGGGGATTCGAAACCACGCCAGTTGACTCAATGACAGACTTTATGATACAGCGTGCACACGCTAACCATTCAGCCATCCAACCCCCCTATTCTGAAAGCAGTTAATTGGTCACATTTATTTACATGTAGCTTTTTGTACCAGACAGCTCTATAAAATATACGTTTGGAAGTGAAGCCAGTGAGTAGTCACCGTGTAACCAGATTTCTGGTCAGAGAGTGGTATCCCAGTGGAGCTGTAACCAATGGGGACTTAATATCATTTCCAAACTATCTTTTAACCAGTTTAGACATGTGATCAACTTAACCAACTCAAATGAAGTCGACTTGTAATCAAAAAGTTTAAATTTTACATGTTCATGGTTTTGTTTTAATATTTAATTCATGATAATAATAATATATAAATGAAACCAATCATATTTATATGTTTATATTAATACTACTTATAGTTAGCAGACGATTTACGCAATACTACCTAATAGTCTACCAAAATACCACCACATAAAATTTCATTACAAATCAGTGAGTTCCATTCCCTGAATTATCAAATCAAAAAAATGTAAGGTCGACTAGACTGTCCATATCAGTAGATCGAGCATCTGAAATATTAACCTAATATTACCAAATACCTTATAATTTTAACCCAATAGTACCAAATACAACCACATACATTTACTACCAATACTTTATCTCATTTTATCATTCCCTAAAACTGACAGAATTCATCAGTTTTTTTCAATGATCAAGTCAATTTTCCAAATTCTTGCAAAAAATGTATCATTATCTAAAATGTGGCTATTTATAGTATCATTGATAAAGGTCGTATTGGAATGGTAAAACATTGAAATAAATAGTTTATTTTCTTTTGTCTAATGTTTTGTCATTCAAATAATTGTAGGCCTACTTATTTTATGTCATATTTTCATAATATTGGCTCAATATGTAACAGCAATGGAATGGTTTTTGGTTGTATCCATGGTTAATATTTGTCAGTATTGGGTGATCAATTTCTGGAACCAGATTATTATGATTTTGTTCTGAAGTTTATGGCCCAAAAGAAGAAAAGGAAGGAAAACAATAATAATAATAACATTTTTTATAAAACAAATTGTAACAAGATATCCTACTATCCTACAAAGTATTTTATGAATAAACTAAAGTTACATTATATTATATTGTTTTTATTTTCAGAAACATGGAGGATTCTTCAGAAAAAGCAATTCTTAAAAGATTAAAAGAAAAAGACCATGTCTGTGACCTTGTCAAAAATAACACTTTCTCAAGTGATGTTCAGGTTAGTAGCCTAAATAGTTTGAAACACTAATCCATCTATTTTCATCAGCCACATTAAATAGACATGTCAGTGTCTCATATATTAACACCAAGCAGATATATAAAAAATTGGCTTAAAATCAAATTGATAATCAAATGCAAATCTAATAAGTTTTAACTGTTGTGTAATCGTTCATTTACCATAGTATTATGGATGACATGTCACCCCTTTGCGTTGACAAAATTTCACTTTTCCAAATTATTTCTTGAAGGTGAGTAGATAAGTATAATAAATTATAAAGTGTACTGTTACCTAGTCATTGAAATAAGAATCTTGTGACCACAGACATTGTCAGTCACAAATTCAGACTCTGTCAGTCACTATCCCGCTGGTGTCATTATATCTGGAACTGATTTTCCATTTTTCTGTGGCCTTTTGTCCTGAAACAGTTAAGGTGATGACAAGTGTGCACTCTCCTTTTATTATAAGATCTGAGTATAAATAATAGAAACTTTCTGTTTAATTTTGCTTACATGATGATAATTTCTAGAATATTTATCATTTCAGACATTGTTCTCTACTTCTCCATCAAGTAAAGAAAGAAATCGACTTTTATTTTCTGCTCAGTTTTTACAAGCAGCTAAAGATGTCATTTTGTCTGGTGTGTGTAGTGATGACCTCATCCAAGCTGCTGTATTATGCTCTAAATATTACAGAGATCACATGATAGAGGCTAAATCAGTTCTCAAGGAACTAACAATGCAGAAACTACTTTACCATATCGTGGCTAAAGTACCATCGCAGGTAAAATGTGTTTTTTGTAGTAGAGATCTATAATATTATGAATTTGGTTTGATTTCGGAATCTGTCCACCAATTTTTATTTCTAAACCCAATCCGTAACCTTGTTCAGATCATTTGCAATACATTTATATGAGAGGTATAATCAAACCAAAAAATAACACAGAAATAAACTTACAGCATATGTATCAATACAAATTTGGTCTTGGACACACACTTCAACTTTAGCTAAATGTAATATGTTTTGGATTTAAAGATACATTATTTAAGAGCTAAATTTACCCATTTGAGGTCTTTCTTTAGGCCTTAAGTTATATATATTATTAAATATTTATTAACACGACAAGTCTATAATCAACTCTTGATTTTAACTACAGCTTGGCAGATGCAATTAAAATCTAAATATAGGGTACCACACAAATTTACGTAACTCGGCCATATATGACTAATCGAAAGTTGCCAAGTAAAATTGACTGGGAACCGAAAGTTTTTTGACAAAGATGCAATAGGGCGAGTGTAATGAAACCTACGTTCAAAGCTGAACTAGTAAATTACTTGAAAGCCAGTCTATTTCTCTGCCTGTCAGTCAAAACTGACAAATATGACTGAAACTGGAGTCCTATTGCCAATCTTAAATCGTGTCAAACTATAATCTAGTGAATTGACTTGTGTTCCATACTTTATTGCCATAGATGTTAATGTACACTAGAGTAGAAGTCAAGACTTAGATCTAGTGAACAGTCTTGATAAAAGTACTAGTACTGTATCATATTAGTAGATGTATTTGTATATGGCCCTCTAGTTCTATGGTAACTGGGATTGGGGTGCTCAAGGAGAAAGTCAGTGGCCAGCTATTAATCCTTTACTTTATCAACAAATTTGTTTTATCACTACAGTCTCATCAAGATGTGATGTTGGAACTAGGAGAAGAAATGTATATTATGTTAGAACTGGTTAAAGACAATGTAGAAGCAGCTACACCCATGATTAATAATTCTTACAGTCTCTTTTGGAATATTGCTGGAGAATTTGAAAAAAATGATTCATTCAGTGATTACTCAGTCACGCTTAAACTCCGAATTCTAGCGTCAAAGTTATTATTGTTGAAACCAACCACAACACAGACTAATATAGACAAATTTAACCTATCTGTGGAACGATATGGATACCTAATGAAAAATAAAAAGATGTGTGTTATGAAAAAGGAAGTGGAAATCAAAACTCATTTTGAATTGATTTCTAGTTTTTCAAACATACTTATTAAATCCTCATCCAACTCAAAGTCTCATCATGTTGATGTGTCCAGAGTATTATGCCATTTAGTAAAACTACTGATGAAATTCGATCTTCATCAAGAAATTCTCTCTTATATCGAACTTCAGAATAGCCAGTATGATAGCCATGTGGTCATAAAACTATCGCTCAACATCTTAGCAATCTTAAATTTCTTTAATATGTCAGCTGAATCAAAATATTTTTCACATGAAAAACTGCAGGAATCTTTTGAACTCATAAATACAACAGATTTTTCAAATTGTTCCACAATGGAAGCAGAATTTTTAGCAGATGTTTTTATTATTGGTCTCACACTAGCCTCTTTTAAAAATTCTAAAATTTTAGAGTCAAATTCATTTGTGGTCTTGCATTATAATTTATTGACTTTCTTTGAAAAACAGACAACAGTTTTAGCCATTCATATAAAACAATTAAAAGATAAAAATGCAGACACTTCCAAAGTACAAAAATTGTCGCATTATGAGAAAACTATGTTGGAGACGTTGAAGTTGAAGTTGTCATTAGTGCACACTATGATCTCAAATACAAAAGGTAAGTTAGTAGATATCATAATTAACCTGTAGATTGTCTATACAGTGTTGTCATATTCTGCATGCCAGATGGTCTGTACTTGTGTTTAGAATAGTTTATTTACTTAGATGAATAACTTAAAGGAAATGAAATGAAATGAAATAGGGTTTAACATCCTACTGTTCTGCTCCGAACTGGGCTAATGAAGACAGGCATATGCCGTACAGTGTGCTATGAGGGAAATTTTGCCCAGACAGCAGCACTACAGCCTACTCTTATATCGAATTCCAACTGTCAAGGGATCTTTTACGTGCACGCCAATGTGTACACGGAACTTCGTTTTTTCATATCATCCGAACGACTAGACATCTGTCTTTAACAGGCCCTCCGTCCTGCACGGAAAATCTGGATGAACTATCTCGGCCAATGCAGGGATCGAACACCTGACTTCCAGGCTAGCGAGCCAGCATCTTACCCACTTAGCGACCGTGACCTCCCTCACTTTAAGGAAATATAACTCTTAGCTATAAGTACTAAAACGCGCAACTTTTTTTCCTCCCTAAATCTATGTTTGACTGTGCCAAATGAACATAAACAATGTAGCCAGTTACATTTAGATAAACTAAGTGTGAATTATTTGAATAAGCTTGTATGTTACTTAAACACTGTTATTGTAAAACTAATAGAACTGTTACCTGTATAATCTTAACAAGTACATATATGAAAGCTTCATCAGATGTATCTCAAGATATATTTATATAAGAATATCATTTACTTTAGATGAAGAAAGAAGAGATTTTATGAAAAAAGCTGTAGAAATATGTGCTGAAGACATTAAAACAGTAGATGTCTTATTAACAGATAAAACTAAACAAGATTTCCAAATTTCTTATGGTAACCCCTATTATAGATTCTTTATAATATAACCTATATAAATAAAAGTGGGCTTGCAATTTGCTTTGGTGCAAATTAAGCATAGGAAGTAAACTATTATTTTTCTTTTCTGACTACAAGATAACAGAATGATAGAAAATTGAGACTAACACATTGTTTTTTTTATTTTTGGTTAGTTACTATTGATTGGAATAAGATTTTAATGTTATTATTTTAGGATGTCTGACAGGAAAGATGGGATTATTATGTTATAATCTCGATTTAATGGACTATAATATTTATTTTGCCCAAGTAAGCTGTCAACAGTTAACCAGATATTGTACAGCTTGTCCAACTCTACAAGTAGCGCGTATAGATGAGGTACTGTCACCATTTCATACTATATATTAAAGTCTGATTCCAAAAGCTTTTTTGCCACAGCCATCTTTTGATACTTTGCTGCCATTGTCACTGTGCTTGTGTTGAAGATTAAGCTGTGAAATAGAAATGTATAAAGAGCTTACAAGAGCTTTTGACTATAGACCAATCTGTCGATGGTGTATGATAATTTAGTAGAACATTATAAAAATTGCTATATTTAATATTATAGACCAATCTGCGGGTGATGTATGATAATTGAGATAAACATTATAAAAGTTGCTATATTTTATATTATTATTATTATAGACCAATCTGTGGGTGGTGTATGATAATTTAGTAGAATATTATAAAAGATCAAAGAAATGGAAATGTGCGATGGAGACAGTTGTTAAAGGTGTATTAATTGATTCTAGACATTTAGCATCTTTTGCTAAACGATGGGTACAGATCAAACTCTCCGCTCTAGATGATGGATTGGATGAATATATTAATATGTAAGTTTTGGTATTATATAGAGACTGAAAGAAATTACCTCAAAGTTGTAAGGAAATTTCTAGCTATTAACACACACACACCCCCCACAAATTTTTCTGTAAATATATCTTATTAATTGGAAAATATTACCAGACCCAGATTTTTTATACATTGCACATGTTTACAAAATGTACTAGAATTATATTGTATCCGAATTCCGAAATACAGGGATTATTTCTGTTAATAATTTAAATTGTATTCAATTTTAAAACATTGAAAAGGTACAACCCTTCTTTTATCTGAAATTAATATATATATATATATATATATTTTCTTTTTTTTTTCTTTAATCAGGAATTTAAGATCTACTACTGAAAGTTGTGAATTTATAAGTGATGAGTTACTAATATCTTTCCTGAAAGCTGAGTTACAAGTTTTTCAAAAGTAGGTTATCAGTCGTGATTTCTTATTAACTGTTGTGTAGGAATGACAATTATATTAAAGTGTAGTATAATCTTAATAATTTGTTCCGCAGATTTATATAAAAACATTACTTGAAACAAAAGTTTGATCAGATATTAAAGAAACTTAGCTATATCAAATGATATTACTTATAACTTATAGCATGTACTGTATATTTTATGGACAGGCAACAACCTCTTTTCCCCATTTGCCTGCTACTTATGTGAAACTTGGCCTATGCCTAAAGATACATTACGGAAGAGTAGATAAGGAGCTGGCAGTTCTTACTATGATAGTTAAAAACTAGATGATGTAAAGGGATTATGCTGAACATTTCAGTCAAATTGCTTCTCTCTAACCCGAGAAAACCTTATTTAAAAATTACTGTAGTCTCGATTGTCACTGTTACCACTGTCAGGATAATGAATAAAGTCTCGATTATCCATTTTTGTGTTTAATCGTCAACGGGCGTTGAACAGCAGATCGGATTCAAATCCATTGAAAATCAGACACATAAGATGGCATTGAGAGTTGATTATGGTCTTTTCATGTTAATAAATGTCTAATTAAACATACATTATGCAAGAGCAAAATCTGATTATTGCAAGTCTTAATTTAGGCTTCAGATGTTATAGAAATTATAAATTAGATCTTTATTTAAACAACAAGCCCAAAATTAACTCTGTAGACCCACGAATGGCTCCTCTACAGCTCGGATTTAAATAGGATTTCACTTATCAATTAATTCAAATATGGCGCATCCTGAGGAGAATACGTCAGTTAGACCGAGGCTAAATGATAGCGTGTACTTAGCGAGGCTGCTGTAGAGCGTTTCCGCATGCCATTGAAAACTTTACTTGATAATCGAGATATGTAGGTGGAGTTAACGCCTGTCAATCAAACGATCAGCCACGGTGAAGGCACATTTCACTACCATTTCTAGTTAAATATTACAACGATGATAACTATGTTCAGAATAAAGTAATTTGACTGAAATTTTCAAAATATTCTTCTTTCATCATCTACTTTTGAACTGTTATAGCAAGAATGGCCAATTCTCTGTAAAAATCTCCCATAATGTATCTTCAATAGTTTATATAACATTTCAGGCCTAAAGAAAGACCTGCAATAGGCAGATTTACCTCTTGCATAATGCATGCTTAAATAAAATATTACTTTAATTTCGACGATAGCTTTGAATGCAACAATAGTATTGAAAAGATAGCATTTCGATTTGTAAAATTAGCTGAAATGCAATAAGAAATGTCAGATAATTTATATTTGTATTAACTGCTGACTTATTTCAGGAAGAAAAGTGTAGTTGGTATTAATTCTACATTAAAACAACTAGTAGATGTTTTAACTGATAAATGTGAGAAGACAACATATTGTATTTTATTAGCCAGTAATAATCAAATAGATAGTGATGAAACGTAAGTAGCTTAAAGTGGTATCAAGATCATATCATTTTATCTTAAAGCTAGATCCTTGTTACAGTTAAAAAAAGATAATTATGTAGCAGTCAATCTGAGGTTACTGCTAGAATTAAAAAGAAAATTCAAGCCATGCAGGAATCCTTAAATAAGATAATCTAAGAAATCTAAGAATATGTTTTAACTAAAGCCTTGATCTTGTACTTTCTTTTCAGGGCCAAATGTTTGCTTTATAATCAAAAAGGTACAACTGAGGAATAGGACAGCCCTAATAAGACAATTTATCGAGTTTTATGATTTTTTTCATGAGTAGTGATCTAACGTGTGTCTGTCATTGAGTCATGTATTTATGGTGTGATGTCATGCTTGTACATGACAAGGAGTAGGGTCACATGTGATTCCATGCTTGTACATGAGAAAGAGTAGGGTCACATGTGATCCCAGGCTTGTACATAAGAAAGAGTAGGGTCACATGTGATCCCAGGCTTGTACATAAGAAAGAGTAGGGTCATGTGTGATCCCATGCTTGTACATGTCGAAGAGTAGGCTACTGTCAATTGTTCCTTCCACTTCTAAAGACTCCTATGCACAAGTAAATTATAGAATTTACAATATGGTACTTCCAAACTGACATATTTTGTGTTGAAAGGACATTAAACCCCATTTTTGCAGTTTTTGATAAAATTTGACGTATGTTAAAATAACCACAAAATTGTATTTCTTTTCAGTACCACTGAGGATTATCTAAATGTTGCATTGTCTTTAATGCCAACAGAAAAGAAAGCTACGAAACTAGAAAAAATACTAATTGGCCAGATCTATTTGTGGCAGTATATACATAAACATGAAGAAGCCTGTTCTAAGGTAATGTGATATTAGTATAATGTATTTGTATATATTTACAGAGCACCCTTGAAATCCAGCCACAAGGTAACTCTTTATAATTTGTATACCATAGCAACCAGCATTATGATCAAGATTTTATTTGTTAGACAAGACACAAATTATACATTAAGATCAAACTACAACATGATAAAAAGAAATAACACCTCATTATTTCCCGCTTCAATAACCATTTAACACAATATGTTCATTAAAAGTTTATCCCAACTGTAATTATTTTCTTCATGTTTAAGTGTAAGTCATTGATGTTCAACCTATCAAAATACCCACAATAGACCCAAATGTGTTATTAGAGTTACCCCTCTTAATACAAAATTGTTATTTATGGATGTGCCCGATTGTCAGTCCGGAATGTCCCGAATTGACAGAATTGCAATCAAGTCATACAGAATTCAGTCCTGTCACAGTTCCGACAGCTGAGGTGGTGTGAGTAGAATCGTGACATATTTTAAGTAACAAATATGTTTCAGCTGCCATGATTGGTTGAGATATTTTTTATGCAGTCGGCACATGCGTTGTACTCCACGAAATTCTCCTTTTCACTCGATTGACACTATTTTCGGAATGGAGATAATTTAATTCCAGAACGTTCAATCGAGTATCCCCTATGAGAAGTCCCCAAATAAATTTGAAGCACTATCATTCTTTCTGGACATACCCTGCCTTTTGCATAGCACTACATGCACTGCTAATTAATATAATTAGAGCTGTAGTTTAGACATGGATTTCAGAGATAAAGGGTTCAACTGATTAAGATGATCTCTAATCTTATTGAGGTAATCCATTTTGCTGTTTTATATTGTGTATCCAATCATTAAATTTCAACAATGATGTTAGCGAAATTTAAATATTGACTTCTGATCAATATTTCATTTAAATTTTCCAGGTAGCAGTTGAAGAAACACAAAAAGGTGACAAATTATCAAAAAATAATGAAGATGAAGAGGCATCCATTGAAACAAAACAACTTTTTACATTAGCTGATGAAGAAGACATGGTAGTCATTTTGGATAAAGCTGTTAGCTTATGGCAGGAATGTTACACTATTAGTTTTGATGATCCAATGAAAAAACAGTATTTTATTGAGTCCTTACAACTCTGTTCCTCTATATATAATTCCCTTAAAAGGGTAAGACTGATAATCATATTTCTGTTTATGATGTTTATCAATGGATTATATTTATTTTAAAGATATATTTATATGTTTGATATACTTTTGTTATTATTATTATTACTGCAACATATTTATAGTGTGCCCTTTCATATAACATGTTCAGGGGCACTTTACAAAGTGACAATATAATCATAAATAAACAACAAGATTATTGACATGTTAACGATTGTATACAGAGTCAGTTAAAAGCCTGATTAAATAAATGATATGGGGTTTAATGTCTTACGTTAATTACAACAGACATGAAACTGTGTTTAACATCTAGCTTTTGTGCACCAATAATAGCGAGCATACACACCATGTAGTGTGCTATGATGGAGAGAATTTTTGGCAGGACAGCAGTTTTTCCACCTGCTCTTCATGTCAAAGGTTCTTTTATGTGCACTTCAACAATTACACATGAATGACAAAGAGTCTGTTTCTTACCAGGCTCTGCATTCTGAACCACTGACAAGTAGAAATGACTACTGTCACTGTAACCCAGGTATCATTTAATCTTGTTTATCTAGCACTAATTTTTTTCACATTCGTTTAATATCCAATCTTTGTTTAAAAATTCGTAACAACTGTTCAAAATCACCATAAATCGTTTAATTTGTACTTCTGTCAAGTTTAAAGCTGACCATTCAATTTTGATAATGAGTGTCCAATTTACAAGTGTTTAATTTCTGAATCACCGTTAAAAAAATAAACAACCCAATTGATTAATGATGTATAATGATTCATTTTTGAACAATGGTCAGGATATTAAATACTTGTAAATTGGACACTCATTATCAAAATTAATCAGTCAGCTTTAAACTGGACACAAGTACAAATTAGATGATTTTTGGTGATTTTAAACGATTTTTATGAATTTTTAAACAAAGATTTGATATTCAACGAATGTGAAAGAAATTAGTGCTAGATACACAAGATTAAATGATACCTGTTTTACAGTGTCTTCTTCTACTGTAAGCTGAATGACAAACCCATCTATTGTATAACCCTTTTTCTGAATTTGAATTTTCAGCCTGTGAAAGAAGCTCAAGTTCTGGCAATGTTAAACAGGTTATGTGAGGAAGGGAATGAAAGTTTGAAACATAAAATTAATATGGATGTGGTACGATTATTGACATCACTGGGACTGTGTAAATCAGCTGTAGAACAGTTAGCTAATATACAACATTGCTATACAGATACATCAACTTTACCAGTTAATGATCAACTATTATACCATATCCGTAAAATACAAGCTACTTTATCATTGGTTGTAAAAGGAAAGGTGAGGAATATAGTTTATAAAAATGTTGGATAATATATCATATATTATAACAGTGTGTTGCATGTAATAGTGCTGGCAAGATATTAAAGTTAATTGTAGCCCAAAATGGAAACTTCTTGGATTCTGATTGGTCGAAAAGTGGCATCGAATGAGTATAACAGTCCTCTAAATTTCCTGGGCGACTCACTGCGAATGAATATTTTCTGGGTGCTAGACTCTGTTTGCAGTGGCCAAAAATTCTACACCTCAAAACTTTATTCTAGGAAATCTTCATGAATTTCTTCTTGTACCGGTATGTCATCAACAAGGAAATTCAACCATTGGCTTATTGAAACACACACCTGAAACACACAAAAAACAAAGTTAGTGAGTGTATTTGAAAGATAATAAGTAAATTTAATTTCAAGGCTGATCTGACAGTAATGGTTGCTATGGTCATTCTATCATAATCAGACTGGTCAAAATCGAAGATTTTCAACAAGTGAATAAAAATACTACAATTTATTGAACTCTGTATGGACCGTAATATATTTTTAAAAATATACAAGTCGGGCTGATACTGATATGACTAGGACAGAGACTAATTTTCATACACAGGCCAGGGTTTTTAGCGAAGAAAAAAAAATCACATTCACAGCGTTGAAATGACAACGTAAACAAGTATAGCAACTACATGCGTACGCTACACAGCATATATCTACACGGTCACACAAGTGTATGTACATTTATCAAACATGATATGCAATTTATTTAGAACCTAGTCACTGCTGGAGTTCAAAATCATTTAAAAAGTACATAAAATACACTTACGATTTCTGTTTCGATCTTTAAAATTATCGCAGAGTGACCTCCCTTTCCAAAAAGACACAATATTAACCAGTCGCTTAGTGAACCAAATAGAATGGAAATGAGTGTTTATCTTATTACGTCACGGATATTTTCATTACGTCAAAATTGTTTGCCTTGGTATTTAAGTCATTAAAACCAAAAAACGACCGTCAACTATCGCGAAAGAAGGAATTCCGAGAAAAATGTTATACATTTTGGGCTACAATATCGATAAACACCTCCGGTTTAGAATTTATCGGACTGTTATTGTCCATTTGATACTGCTTAAATTTTTCATTAGAGGCGCTCGACCGCTACGGCATCACGGCCTCTAATGATTTAAGTGGTATCAAATGGACAATAATAGTCCTGTAAATTCTAAACAGTCGGTCTTTATCTCCTAATCAATCTATCTCAATTCACGGTCTCACAAGATACTGAATAAATACCTCATGATACTTTTTTATTGTTCTGTCTTTCAGAAATGTAGCCTTTGGATCATATCCTCGCTTTAGTTGAAACTATAACAATGCTAATCTGATTAAAATACAGATCTATATTTCGTTTCGAAAACTTTCAATGGCTTACACTACATGAAGATCTGACCAGTTGTACTGGGGTGTTGCGTCAGACTTTGACATTTCTAGGAGTTTACCCACAGTTCTGTGCAGGGAACTCCAAGAACTCGCTGTAATAGACTGTTTCATTGGCTAATTCCTCACATCAACTAGAACACCTGTTGTTATATAACAACTCTTCCGGATTCACGTGTTTGTGAAGACAAGAAAAACAAATTTTTGAACTATAAAAAAACGAAACGAATTATGATCTGTGTTTTAATCATTGTAAAAATGCAGTAGATGTCTTTCCGTAGACCAACATTCTATTTTAAATAGGCCAGCTGTGAGCACTTACGCTTTCTGTGGGTTTCAGACATATCTGTTCATAAGATTTTTATACCTTTTTGGTGGAATATTGCCTTTTTTTAAAGGTTTTACAAGATGTAGTTAATAAAAAAGCATTTCTAAATAGCAAAATACGTCTAGATACCAGGAAACAGTCAACATCAAGACCTGGTTTTGAATCTTGATTTGAATCCTATCAGAGCATCTGAATAATAATGCATATCATATTGTAAATGCAGTCGTGATACACCACCCTAGTATTTAATGCAATGTTCGATATCAAATTTTGAAGAGCTCCTGATTTAGTCTAAAGTTTTCTCTTTTTAGATGAGGAGCCACAGTGGCTAAGTGTGTAAGACGCTGGCTCGTTGGCCTGGAGGTAGCGGGTATGATCCCGGTGTTGGGCGAAAAAGTTCATCATGATTTTTCGGCGTCGTTTTCCAATGTCAGTGGTGCAGGATAGAGGACCTGACAAGGACAGCTATCTAGACATTTGGATGGGACGGAAAACCGAGGTCCTGTGTACACATTGGTGTGCACATAAAAGATCCCTTGGCAATTGGAATTCGATTTATATAATAATGGGCCATAGCGCTGCTGTCCGGGCAAAATTTCCCTCATAGCATACTGTATGGCATAAGCCCGTCTTCATTAGCCCAGTCGAAGCAGAATAGTAGGACGTTAAATCCCATTTCATTTCATTTCATCTTTTCACATGAAACAAAAAATGCTACTTACCAACTTACAAGTTAATTTCGTATGTTACAGAATGAGGAGTTATTACAAGATTTAGACGATAATTTATCACAGAGGCAGCAGTCAGATACAACTACATGTTTACTGAAAGGCATAATCAACAGATTGTTGTCAACGGTAACTTCCTTACAGAAGGGAGATCACTTCCATACAATTCATTATGCATTAGACCATGGACATGATGCTGTTAGACTTCATACAAGCGTTACTCAATTTTTTCTGGGTAAAAAATACAAAGGTATACAATTCTAATTAGAATGTCAATTTTAGCACTTTGTTTCATAATGAAAATGTCTGATAATGGATTACCCCCATGGATAACTGTCACTTACTGTACATTAGATTTCATACAAGCGTTAACTCATTATTTCTTGATAGAAAATACGAAGGGTATAATCAAATTCTAATTAGATTGCCATTTTTAGCACTTAAAGATACATTATGGGAGATTATGTAAAGAGCTGGAAGTTCTCACTATAATAGTTAGAAACTAGATAATGTAAAGGGAATTTGTTGAAAATTACAGTCAAATTGATCCAATCTGAACCGAGAATTTAGCAATTGAATTTTCGGCCTAGCCTCGATCATCATTACTAAAGTCGGTAAGATAAAAAAAACATAGTCTCGATTATCCATTTCATGATTAAATCATGAATGGAAGTTGAGCAGCAAATCCGATCCAAATCCAGGAAATATCGCAGGCTAGTGATGACATTGAGAGTCGATTATGGTCTGGATAAGTTAATTAATGTTTAATTAAGATAACATTTCAGGCCCAAAGAAAGACCTGCAATAGGCAGATTTAGCTCTTGCATAATGTATGTCTAACTGACAAATGAAAATCTCGGGTTTTGTATTATTGCCCCCATGGATAATTGCCACTTACCGGATATTTAATTCTTTGAATGTTTGCTCATTACAGTAGTTGCACAATAATTTCCATTGAATGGATATTTTTTATAGGTGGCAGTTATCAACAAAAATGGTTAATAGTAAATGAATTGTTAGAATCACTGTTAAATTTAGCTCAGATGTACCGATTTATTGGTGATGATTCCTTGGCTAGATGTTACACTCGTGAAGGTATACGTGTAGCTCAAGGTTTACTGTTACCAAGGTGGTAAGTTGATATTTCTTTTTAAATGGACCTACTGGCCTTTCATCATTTATAGACAATTCAATATTACATAATCTATGGTTGTAATTATTGGGGAAAATAGTCACATGTCTGAGAAATAGATACTTACAAAGATAATAACAATCTTTTAAAGTAAAAAGTTCAGATTTAAGATTAAAAAAAATAGAGGAAAACTCAATTTGAATGAAATAGGAGCCACTAAGCCAACAACTTTTATTTAGAAACCTGGTCACATTAATTTCTACATGCATTTAATTGATGCATATCTTGATCTTTAGAATTACAGCCCTTGATTCAAAAGTGACATAAGTTATCCAATGTGCTTAAATTTTAAAAACATTGTTCATGTCATATTTGGACTATTAGGAGGCCTGACAAGCTCCTGTTGACAACCTTTGTGAACCGCTGAGTGGACTTCAGATGCTGTGGACATATTTTTCATTTCAGAGCAACATATCTGTTGACATTCATTTTAGGGTTAGCACTGATGATGTTGCTGGGGGGGGGGGGGGGGGGCGAATGGTTAGCATATGCGCGCTGTATCATAAGGTCTGTCATTGAGTCAACTGGCATGGTTTTGATTCCCTGGTTGTATGTGAAGAAGTAGGGTTGCATGTCCAACCTCATGGGTTTTCTCCGGGTCCTCCGGTTTCCTCCCACTGCTAAAGACCCTTATGTGCAAGCGAATTATTGAATTAGAATTGAACCATTTGTTTGTGTCGAGTGGACATAAAACTGCTCAAGACCCTTACGTGCAAGCGAATTATTGGGTTATAAATGAAACATTAAACTCTCGCTCTCTCTCTCTCTCTCTCTCTCTCTCTCTCTCTGTCTGATGATGATGATGATGTTGCTGGTGGTGGGTGTATTAAGGGCTGTTTATTTCTATATATAATCTTTTGTAATTGAATTTTTATTACAGGTATTTGTTGTTTATGTTTGAAATGACCCGAATCCATAGTATTACTTGTTGTTTAAAAGATTCTCAAGAAGTTTTAAAGAACATAGCCTCTATTCTTCACCCTGATGACTCTATGAAACCAACTGTCACTTTTCCGTTTTATGATGATAAAGTAAAGACATGTGAACTAAAAATTTCTCAACGTAAAAGAAGTCTTGTTGAGGATTGTTTTGGTTTTGAGAGTATACGAGATGCAGGAGTTCATCATTTTTCTGGTAGCCATATTGATCTTGATCTTGCGGAAATGCCAGTAGAATTGGACTTGCCCAAAGTTTTTATCCCAGACCATAGTTCCAACTGTTTGTGTGTCGTGTGTAAAGATGAATCACTTTTAAACTTTAATGCTAGATACTGGTTCCACCTAGGAGAAGTCTGTTACCATAACCAATATTATTCACAAGCAGTGAGTCTGCTAAACAAAGTTATTGAATGGCACAAACAATCCATGCCAAAACTCTCAAAGAAACTTATTCAGATCGAACAGACTTTGGTACCATCTGTAACAATGAATGATAAACTAGCCCTGCCTGATTTTAGTTTAATTCTTTGTGAATGTTACTGCCTGTTAGCCGAATGTTCTATCCATTTGTATTCAGACGATGCATCTAAGAACATGTGTAATGAAGCCCTGAAAACTTTGGAGTCTTTTAACCTCGAACATCCTGAACAGAATTTGTTGCGTGCCAGAGTCAATATGTGTCTAGTTCAACTGGAACTTAGCCACATAAGTACATTATCATATGACTTAACTTCAAATCTTGGAAATTTGTGCATTACCGAAAAAAAGTCTGTTGACCCAAGTCAAGATCTTTGTGTTCAATTTGAAAAGTGTCATTTAGAGGAAAATAAACACACGGACAAAGCAGTATCTAAACAAAAGAGCAAAGATAGCAATAAACATAAACAAAAGAAATCTATGAGAAAAATTAAATTTGATTCTCCAGATCTTCAAATCAAATCAAGTGACTCACCTGATTTACCAACAATGGATGATACAATAGATTCAGAAAAAGTTGCTGACGTGAGCTTTGAAGTCATACCCAACAGTCCTGAAACTACCTCTCACGTTTTGTTCAGCAAAACTCCACTTGTCTCATGTAAAAAATCAAGGAAAAATACTTGTAGTTTGAATGTAACCTCATCAAGTCCTTCTTCAGACGAAGTTTTTGTCATGGAAGATGAACAGATAAATAGAACAATTGACCAAAAAGAAAATGAACCAACGACAAAAAAATCCAGTCGTAAGAACAAACCCTGTTCTGAAATAAAATCCAGAAGTTTGAAAACTTCTGTTAACAATTTACATGCTCAAGATGAATCTTCAGTCACAAGAACAAACGGTAGAACAAAAAGACAAGCCAGAGGTCGAGTTGATAAAACTTATTGTGAATTAGACGATTCCAATATTGAAACAGAATCAAATGGGAAAGAAGAGTTGGAAATAAAATCAAGAATACCAAGACTGAAAATATATTCTCCTGGCGAACAACCTCCAGAAAAAGAAAAACGATCCAGAAAAAAAGTTTCTACAACAGTTGATAACCATGTAAAAGCTACTCCGAAAACCAAAGGCATAAGCATGAAAAAATCTACGCTAAATATTGATAGTGAAGAGGATGAAGCAGAAGATGAAATTCCTGAAACAAAGTCTAGTCGAAGCATTCGTAAATCCAAGGCCACTACCTCAAAATTAACAGAACCTCGATCTCGTGTTAAGAGATCTTCTAAAAAACAAACTGAAGATTTAGAAATCATGCAAGATATTTATGAATTCGATGAAGCTGGCTCTCCCATTAAAACTAAAGGTGCATCTAGAAAAAAAAGTGGGAGATCAACAAAAAAGAAAGTGGAAGTGTGTAAAGTTGAAAAGTTAAGAAACTCTGAAAATGAAACTGAAGATTTAGAAATCATGCAAGATATTTATGAATTCGATGAAGCTGGCTCTCCTGTTAAAACTAAATGTGCATCTAGAAAAAAAAGTGGGAGATCAACAAAAAAGAAAGTGGAAGTGTGTAAAGTCGAGAAGTTACGACACACCGAGAAAACTCCAGAGATAACATTTAGTCATGTCACTGATATTAGGATTGTAATGACTTCTCCCCCTCTGTCTGACCAGAATAACTTTCTTCATTTGTCGTCTGCTGTGGTGGAGCCAGAATTATTTGAAGAAGAAATAGAAATCCTGAGAGGAAGGAATATTAAATCTGGAAAGACAAAAAATTGTAAATCAAAAGTCAATGTCGTAAAGGAATCTGTAGAAGTTTTGAGATCAGATGAAAATACCTATGACGTTAACGACAAAGAGAGTGTTACTTCTTTTTCTCAAAACATTTCCTCCAAAACAAATGGTGAGATTTATTTTCCCCTTTTTTTTTTAATTCAAACAATATTTAACATGTTTGCATATATATATATGCATTATAATAATAAATATATTGTTCTAACTTTATCCATTAGGAGGTTGGGTGGCCAAATGATTGAACGTTTGTGCTTTAGATTAAGGTTCCCAACTTGTATATTGTGACAAGGACTAGGGTATCCTGTTCAACCTCGGGAGGTTGGGTGACCAAATGGTTGAATGTGTGCGCTTTAGATTAAGATTGCCATCTTGTATGTGACCAGGACTAGGGTTGCCTATTCAACCTCGTGGGTTTTCTCCGGGTCATCTGGATTTCTCACTTATGGTCAAGCAAATTATTGAAATAAAATTGAACCCTCATTGTTATTCCTGAAATGATGTATTTTGTGTCGAGTGGACATTCTCTCCCTAAACAATCATTTCTTAATGCACAGCAATCATTATTGAATCATTTAAGAATTGGAATTGGAAGTTCCCCTCTTTGAAATGAAGTATATCGAATTTCAATTATTGGTATTCCCTTGATATATAAAACCCGGTGGCCAAAGTTTTGTGAGATCTTTCAGGAACTTATCTGTTCTTTGACGTTATAAATGCTTCAAAATTTTTCAGTTGATCATTCTCATCTTACTGTAACATTGTTAAAGGCCTATGAACAAGTTCGACATTTTCCTGCTAGCCCATCATATCCAATGATTTGTAAACTATTGGCGTTACAGTATATACATACCAGTCCCGATAAAACAGCTTTTTACCTCACAGAATCGGCAGCTGTAACATTCCGTCATCAAATATTAGTAGATGTGGGTAGAAAAATCAGGTATGTTGCAGATGATAATATAAATGCTGTCCAGAGCTATAGTCTATTTCTTAGAGTATTAGGTAGTTTGGATTTTTGATTAACATTAATACATGCAAACAATATGTGCTCCCATCTTTTTGGCAATAAGCTTAATAGACTTCTTATAATTGTGGTTAAAGATAGAATTTAAATTTCATTTGATTTTAGGTGTTGATTTTTTTGTGTGATGACTTTCTTTGTAGGTTGAAAATTTTACTTATTTACATTATTTATTTTGGCATCTGAGATATAATCTATTTTGTATTTTGACACAAACCACCTCCACTTAGAACAAACACGAAACAAAACTATGATCACAATGTATGATAACCCAATTTAGTGCTTTTGCTCCTTACAGAAGCTACATTGGCTTCCAGTTTGAGCAAGGGTTCAATTTAAAGCTCTTGTGAATGTGTTTAAATCAATTTATTCTGACACTGCACCCAGTTATTTAAATTCAATTCAACCTTAGTTCTTCAAGTGATCGTAGCATATTGAGGATTCATAAATATAATAAAAGTTCCTGTGAATATGCTTTCTTATTCCGAGCAGCTAAAATGTGGAATGATCATCCAAAAACTCTTCGAGAGTCCTCTTCCATCCAGAGCTTTAAGACTAACTTAAAAACATATTTATTTCAAAAATGTTTTTTGAACTGTTTTGTACCACTTCTAGAGTTATGGCCCTTGTTTCACTTTGTTACACCTTGTGATCGCTCTATCATCTGCCGATCTGTATGAATTTTATATGTGTCGTTAAGATTAATAATAAGAAGAATCCTATTAAATTTCAGCAATTTCCGTTAATTATATCTGGAGTTATGGCCCTTGTTTCACTGTATTGAACCTTGTGAACACTCTAACGTCTAAAGCTATCTGCCGATCTGTATGAAATTTATATGCATCATTTAAATTAGTAAAAAGAAGAATCCTATTGAATTTCAGCAATTTCCATTTACTACTTCTTGTGAACACTCTAACATCTAAAGTTATTTGCTGATCTGTATGAATTTATATGCATCATTTAGATTTGTGAAGCCACGAAGCCTATTGAATTTCAGCAATTCACAATAATTACTTCTAGAGTTAAGGCCCTTATTTCACTTTGTTTAACCTTGTTAATGCTCGATTGATAAAAGTTATCATCCAATATGTATGAAATTTATATGTGTTATTTAAATTTGTGAAACAGAGGTCTATTGAATTTCAGCAATATCCATCAATTATTTCTAGAATTATGCCCCTTGTTTTACTTTGTGAACCTTGTGAATGTTCAAATGACAGAAACTATCATCCGATCTGTATGAAGTTTATATACATTATTTAAATTAGTAAAATGAAAAAGCCTGTCAAATTTCTAAATTTTCTGTTAATTACTTTCAGAGTTAAGGCCCTTGTTTCAGTTTATAGAACCTTGTGAACCCTCAAATGACAAAAATTATAATCTGATCTGTATGAAATTGTCTTGTAAATGCCCCAAATTACCTATTAAAGAATAAATATGTGACAACCCTTGGCGGCTGCTCGGACGATTTAGCTGCTGTGGGCGTATGTTTCGTTGCCTGGCAACTTAGCTTTCTTTTACTTTTTGAAATAAAAACATGTCATGTGGCCCTTTTGAAGTGACACAGGATTATCTGAGAAACAGAATATTTTGTTTTTTATCGCATTACTTTCAGCTATCAATTTTGTATACACCCTATGTTCTATACAGAATTTCTATTAGGTTATAATATTTGTAACATAATTATATTTGTTTTAATATTTGTAACATGATTATATTTGTTGTAGGAAATTAAAGAAAGAGAAGACTGTAGTAACAAGTGATGGTGGTACGGATATAAAGATGTATAATGATGTCCGTCAATCTCTAGTATTTGATAAAGATAATGTTGATATAACTACCATGTTAAATAATCTACCATCAGGTATAAACATATATGAAACTCAATATTCTTTAAAGCTGCCAATTGTCATCAGAGTGATTTTTAATGCCTTGTTAACTAGAATGTTGTGAAGGTTTGATATCTAAACAGAATATCAGTCCAAATAATTACAAAGATATGGCCAGTCTTGTAACTTTGTTAATTCAAGTTCTTAACCCTTTCATTATGTGTGGTCGGATCACACATACGTGACAAGGAATAGGGTTGCCTAGTTTCCGGTTTCCTCTCACAGCTAAAGAACCCTACGTGTAAACGAATTATTGAAACAAAATTGAACCATATGTTTAGTCCCGAATGACCTAATGTGTGTCGAGTGGACATTAAACTCCATTTCTATCACTCTGGATTTCACTTTTTTTCATCACAATATGTTTGATGTTATTTGTGGGTTTTTTTATTTATTTCAGAATGGACGGTATGTCAGTTGTCTGTAGTAGAAAATATGGGTAAAACATCACAAATGTTATTAACAAGATTTACAAAAGAAGTTAAACCTATTACAGTTCAACTCCCAGCTTTTATTAATAAACAGGTACTAATTATTTTATTTTTATGATCGACTTAAATATGGACCTCATCAAAACAGATCTCACTTTAACCAGTTTGTTCTACCTCTAACAAAGAGTGTTTTTTTTAGCCCAACTTTGGTATTACTGAAGTTGCTAAAATGCATATTATTATATCTTCTATATTCTTCTGCTGGTTGATTGAAGGACATCACATTACCAGAATATTTCCTGTTGGTTTAAAAAAGAAATTAGTGTAATATGCGCAGCTTTCATGATTATTTCAGCAGGGTTATATAAAGTGATGACAATATTATCCAGCTTTGTTTTAATTTATCTGTATTTCGTTTTAGGGTATTAATCTATTAGATGAATTTGCCTGTATTATGGACGCCAGTGCCGAGAGTATGAAACTTGTGGATAAATATGAATTTTGGAAAAATCGTAAACTTATTGATGAAAGGTTAGAGGTAAGTGCTAGGGAGCTGAGATTATTAAAAATCATCATATATGGACCAATAACTGAGTAAGAATCATCACAGTCATCATTGTGATATCATAGCAAAAACCAAAGTCTGTCAATGTGCGGGGAGAGCGTTGCTAAGTGGGTAAGACGCTGGCTCACTAGCCCGGAGGTCGGATGTTTGATCCCTGCATTGGCCGAGAAAGTTCATCCAGATTTTCCGGCGTGGATCCCCCTTGTCGGTGCTGCAGGACAGAGGGTCTGACAAGGACAGCTGTTTAGTCTTTCAGATGGGACGAAAAAAACGAGGTCCCGTGTACACATTGGCGTGTACGTAAAAGATCCCTTGACAGTTGGAATTCGATATAAGAGTAGGCCGTAGTGCCGCTGTCCGGGCAAAATTTCCCTCATAGCACACTGTATGGCATATGCCCGTCTTCATTAGCCCAGGTCGGAGCAGAACAGTAGGACATTAAACCCCATTTCATTTCTGTCAATGTGCAATTGTCCAAGGAACAAGCATGCCAAATTTTATGCGAATCGACATGAATTGGCGGAGACTTAGGCTTTTTTCGAAGAGTATCACCCACCCAAGAACAACAAGATGAGTAGCGGTTAATGACCAGTTCCTTGTCCTATATTGCAAAATGATTGGACCAATGAGATCATTGTGTATAATAAACCAGTGCTTGTTGTTTCTTTTAACTGTTGTCAGTTTTGAGATCATTTAGTCTTCTATTTTCAGTAACTGTTGGTTAATATACACTGTAACCCAGGTATCGTTTAATCTTGTGTATCTAGCACTAATTTCTTTCTCATTCGTTTAATATCAAATCTTTGTTTAAAAATCTGTAAAAACTGTTTAAAATCACCATAAATCGTTTAATTTGTACTTGTGTCCAGTTTAAAGCTGACCATTCAATTTTGATAATGAGTGTCCAATTTACAAGTGTTTAATTTCTCAATCATTGTTAAAAAATAAACAACCCAATTGATTAATGATGTATAATGATTAATTTTTGAACAGTGATCAGGAAATTAAATACTTGTAAATAAACAAAGATTTGATATTAAATAAATGTGAAAGAAATAAGTGCTAGATACACAAGATTAAACGATACCTGGGTTACAGTGATACTAGTTGAGTATTTGGTATTATTTTAATCTTTTAATTTTTGTGCAGGAATTTCAAGATAATATGCAGAAAGAATGGTTAGGTTTGTGGAGAAATCTTTTACGTGCACAAATAAAAGATAATGATGAAGTGTATAAATTATGTAGAGAGACTATGGATAGTTTAGATGGTTATCATCTTTCTAACTCAGATAAAGATATTATCAAGGTATATCACTTAAAGATACATTATGGGAGATTAAATAAAGAGCTGGCAATTCACACTATAATAGTTAAAAACTAGATAATGTAAAGGCAATTTGCTGAAACGAGAGTTTACCAATTGAATTTTCGGCCTAGATTTGATCATCATTACTAAAACTGGTACGATGAAAAACATAGTCTCGATTACCCATTTCATGTTAATCATGAATGAAAGTTGAGCAGCAAATCAGATCCTAATCCAATAAATATCGCTGGCTAACGTTGACATCAAGAGTTGTTTATGGTCAGGATAAATTAATTAATGTCTAATTAATAATTTAGATAACATTTCAGGCCCAAAGAAAAACCTGCAATAGGCAGATTTAGCTCTTGCATAATGTATGTTTAATTTATAATTACATTTCATGAACAACAATTTTCTTACTGGAATGTTTGATATTGTTGACAAAACCTATCAGTATTTAGTCTCGGTCACCCAGAACCTCCTAGTCTTCGACAGACGGAGGGTCTGGGACCGTTGTCAATATTTGACGAAAAGTTCCATTGCCCATGCGTAACCATGAGGTTTTCTTTATGTGGTTGATTATCCAGTATCTTTGAGCAAGTCAAGTAAGAGTTGTGCCCCTTCACGCAATAAATCCCATAATTCTTGCATTAATATAATAAAACATGAATTGTGACGACGAATTAGGATTAATGAAAAAAAACCCCGTAGATATGGCCCATGAAGAGACAATTTTACAATAAAAGAAAAAATTAAGAGTGTTGGATATTAAACTGCCAATGCAATCAAATGCATTTTCTGAAATGCCAGAACTCCATTGAAATTAAAAGTCATTTTGTCATCAAAGCCTTGTAACTATTCTATTGCAAAAAAAATAAAATTGAAAATGTCCAACTTCACATACATGTAAAGTCATGTATAACCTTTATATGAAGTTCCAACCACCAATTCAGCTGCTTTTAGGAATACTTTTCATTGACTGTCAACCTATCTTTTTTACTTTTTACATTTCAGGTAATAATTACCATATCAGAGGGACTGTCTTGTGTGGAAATATTAGAAATGTTATCCAGGCTCTTAAACACAGATGATAAAACAGCTATAAAAAACATTGGTGCTAAAATTCAACTTGCTTCAGAGAAACTTTCTTTTACCACTTTACACAGATATCCAGTTATACTTATACTCGACAAAGTAGGTCAAGTTACACTTACATTAGACGTAGGGGAGGGGGGATCTATAATGTTTGTCATTCAGCCAAGTAACAAGAAGCGTGGTCATCTGCCCAAGGTTGTGAGTATACGCAGGATCATCCGGTTTCCTTTCCCTGCTAAAGACTTCAACATTCAAACAAATTATTAGAAATAAAATTGTCTGATATGTTTGTTCCCATATTACCTACATTTCTCTCTACATTAGACAACATAAATCCATTTTATTTTAGTGGGTTTTTTTTGTAATATAATATGATTATAAAAATGTAATTCGTAACATTATGCAGTCTATGCATAAAATAGTTTTAAGATTTCAGTAACATTTAAAAGATAACTGTACACAATACACATCTGCCCATTATAAATGGTATTATATTATTATTATTATTATTACAGCATATTTTGGGGGATCACGGTGGCTAAGTGGGTAAGGCGCTGGCTGGCTAGCCTGGAGGTCGGGTGTTCGATCCCTGCATTGACCGAGAAAGTTCACTCAGATTTTCCGGCGTGGTTCTCCCTTGTCAGTGATGCAGGACGGAGGGGCTAACAAGGACAGCTGTCTAGTCGTTCGGATGGGACGAAAAACCGAGGTCCCGTGTACAAATTGGCGTGTACGTAAAAGATCCCTTGACAGTTGGAATTTGATATAAGAGTAGGCCGTAGTGCCGCTGTCCGGGCAAAATTTCCCTCATAGCACACTGTATGGCGTATGCCCGTCTTCATTAGCCCAGTTCGGAGCAAAACAGTAGGACGTTAAACCCCATTTCATTTCATTACAGCATATTTATAGTGTGCCCTTTCATATCAGGTGTTCAGGGAATACAAATTAAAAGGTTTTTGTAATTTTATGCAAATATTGACTTTTGTAGACTCCATTTAATATAGCCACAATTTCTTCTGATCACTCAAATGTCACTGATTATGGATTGTAAATTCAGAATATTTCAATCGCATATCACAGATTTATCAAACCATTTATGTTCACATTTATTTAGTATCCTTAATGGGGTACCTGTCTGAGTTTTTGAAATATTTGTTTTAAACTAGAGTATAATGAAGAGTCCTATTAGACGCACGGTTTTTGGTTAACACTTAGATCATAAGGTCTGTCATTGAATCAAGTGGCTGGTTTCTATTCCCCGCTTCTACATGAAAAGTAATACGGTTGCCTGTCCAACTCCATGGGTTTTTATTCTGGGTCCTCAGGTTTAAATTATTGAAATAAAATTGAACCATATGTTAGTCCTGTAATGACCTAATTTGTGTCGAGTGGACTTAAACCACATTTCTCTCTCTCTCCCTACTAGAGTTGTCTTTCCATTCATATTCTGATTTATAAAGTTTGTTACGGCAAGACACGACAAAGTTCTAAATGGATTAATAAACAATGATTTCTGTTATTGTAGGTTATTCAACATCTACCATGGGAGAATATAGGAGTATTACGCAGCCACTGTGTAACTAGAATACCATCATTATATTATTTATCTACACAACTAACATCTTTACGTAATGATACCAGTAATATATATAATTGTGGTGTTAATCCAGATAATACATATTATATCATTAATCCCGATAACAACTTACCTTCAACACAAGAATTCTTTCAAACAGCATTTAAAGAGTAAGTATTCTTGGTGATGGATAGAGAGAGTTGTGAAGCAAGTGGTATAAAGCAGAAAAGTAGAATCAGTGGCCCAATATTGTTTGGGGGCTTTTCGTCTAAGGATCCTGCGCACAATCAATTGAATTGAATAAAGAATTACCATGTTTTAGTCTAAAATGACCTAGTTTGTGTGGAGTGGTTGTTAAGTCTTAACAACCTTCAATTAATTGTTCTTTTTACAGCTCTAATTTACATTACATACAGAACTAGGTGGCTTAAAGCCACTGATCATCATTTGACAATACCTATTCAGGGCTAAAAACATGTACAGAAATGGATCTGTACTCTAATTGATTATTTGGGAGCCACGTTAGCTCAGTGAGTAAGATGTTGCCTCGCTAACCTGGAGGTCCTGTGTTCGATTCTTGCGCTGGCCGAGAAAGTTCATCAGGTTTTCTTGCGTGCTTCCTCCTTGTCAGTTGTACAGGACCGAGGGCCTGGCAAGGGACAATGTATAGTCATTTGAATGGGACTAAAAAGTAAAAGATCCCTTGACAGTTGGTATAAGAGCAGGCAAAATTTCCCTCATAGTACACTGTATGGTGTATGCGAATTGCGAACAGTAGGACGTTAAACCCCATTTCATTTCATTTCTAATTGATTATTTAACATTTAATTAAAAAAGCAAAATCAAAATATTATTGGTAAATAATCTGTCAGCTTTCGAAAGAGGCCCATCAAGCAACTTTAGTTGGTCGTGGCTTGTTATGTATTGTAGACGAAACAGCCAAATTTAGTCAAAACTTCCTTAAAAAAAATCAAAACGACCATTTAAATATTTGTGATTTTTATTTTAGGAAAACTGGTTGGAAAGGTATAGTTGGTGAACGGCCTACAGCTGATCAATTCTCTAAAGCTTTAACTCAGTATGATCTCTTTATGTAAGTTCAGTTTATTAATTTTACAATCATATATATCTGAACAATATCAAGCTTTTCAAAATTTAACTAGACAGACATTATAAAGTAAAATAAATGTCTTTCATTTCATATTGTACTGAATAATGAACCAGTTGTATGGTTTCTAAGCCAGATTATTCCGGTCTATCTTGGATTGCCATGAACAGTGTCCAGTCGTTTGGATGGGACGAAAATCCAAGGTCCCATGTACATGTTGGTGTGCAAGTAAAAGAATACTTACTATTTGAAATAAGAGCAGGCCATGGCCTATAGCCCTGCTGTTTGGGCATAATTTCCCTCATTGCAACTTGAAATAGCACAGTTGGGGCAGAAAAGTAGGACACTAAATTCCATTTCATTTCATTTGTCTTGAAATATGATTGTTTGTAGATATTGCGGTCATGGTGATGGTGGTAAATATTTGTCTGGTGAAGAACTACAGAAACTACGATGTAGATCAGCGGTTATATTAATGGGTTGTAGTAGTGGTTTATTAAAATCTAAAGGATATTTAGATGTATTTGGTACTGTTATGTATTACTTCTTAGCTGGTTGGTAAGTAATTAGAATACAAAAGTTGAGAGTTTCATTAACCTTTCTGATATTAAATGAAAAATAAGCATACCCTACTTTATGCATCATATCAATCACTCTGTTCTGAGTATTCTTGCCCCACCCACGATGACAAGCTAAACACACTTTATGCCTATGAAGATGGAAAGTGAGACCTATAATTAAGAATCAACTTCTCTTTCATATATGTCCAGATGATAATGTTAACGCATTGTTGTCCATCACAACTTCAGTGCTGTTCCGATCAGTGAAACCTTGTAAACAATCGGCATACTACTCTTGTCTCGCTCTTTGGGGTTGGCATGGCTGAATGGTTGACAGGTGCGTGTTGAATCAGGTTCATATGTTAACCCCGAATGACCTAGTTTGTGTTAAGTGGACACAAAACCCTCTCTCTCTCTCTTTTTCTCTCTCGCTTTCTCTGGCTGCCTCCTCGCTCTTCTCTATACTGAACAAATGTCAGAATTCCTGGTGATCATGTTCTCTGGTATACTGAATATCTTTCACAGACTTATAATTTCTATTTTATGTTTTACTCTCTACTTCACTAATTTGTTACATGTATATTGAAATTATCTTGGTTGTTTTTGTTTTTCAGTCCCTGTGTTGTGGCTAATTTATGGAATGTTACAGATAGAGAAATTGACAGGTTTTCTAAGAGTTTAATAGATATATGGCTAGAATCAGAAAATGGGACGAGTTTAGCTGATGTTTTACCTAAAGCTCGTGAAGCTTGTCGTCTGTTAAATCTAACCGGTTCAGCACCAGTAGTATATGGTTTACCCGTTTCTATAAATAAGTCAGTTGCATAAAAAGTTAGCTATAACAACATGATCAGCTCCATTTTCACCATCCAACCTCGTGGGTTTTCTCCGGTTCCTATTGTTTCCTCCCACTGCTAAAGACCCCTATGCGTAAGCAAACTATTGAAATAAAATTAAACCATATGTTTGTCCCGAGTGGACGTTAAACCCCATTTCTCTCTCTCTCCATTTACACCATTAGATTTCTATATAATTATTTCACAAAGAAGCCAATGCTTTTATGACAATAATATTTTGTCATTAATCAGCATTCAGTAATTCTAAATGAACTAAATAAACATATTTATTAAGAAACTGGGCTAATGAAGACGGGCATACACCATACAGTGTGCTATGAGGGAAATTTTGCCCGGGCAGCGGCGCTACGGCCTACTCTTATATCGAATTCCAACTGCCAAGGGATCTTTTACGTGCGACTAGACAGACAGCTGTCCTTCTCATATTTATTAAGAGAATCGGACAGTTGAAGCATTTGTTATATGCATCCCCTCAACTATTATCTCTTATTTATCTCTTGAAATACCACAGAGTGTGGTGGTAGGATATAGTCAATTATAACGTTTGTTTGCATACTACTTGAATAGCTTCAATTTTCCATAAAATGGGATTGTGATCTATTCCAAATTTTATATCTTTATTATTAAGATTTTAATACATTTTGTGAATAAATTTCATAGTGTGGGCATATTTTAACAATGTTGTAAACTGCTGGTGCCCATTTGTCCTCTCACACTTGGTTAACACTCTGGAAGCCACACTGATCATAAGGTCATGCTGAAATGTTAGAAGGCTCATTTCATTGAAAGGGTGAGGCCTGTTGAATTTGAATCTTCCCAGATTTACTCACCTTATTTACAAAGCGGTGTTAACTGTCTATTTCTTTCCCTATGATAGTGCTGATTAATTTCTCTATATACATGTATATAATTATAAAGATTGTTAAGAGCATGTAGTTTTTGTTGTTTATAAGCATGGAAGTTAGTGTTAGCAGCATACCCCTAATAAATGTACATAAATTATTATAAATTTTAGTTTTAACAACATAGACTAAGTTTATTTGAAAATATAAACTACCATTAAATGTCATGTGTTGTTTCTGTCATGTATTTTTAAAACACAATTGTATTAATTGCTTACTTAATATAAATGTTTTTTTGTAAAATAGATATAATGTAATTTAATGTTCAGTTAGTTTATTATTTTATATATCGATAATAAAAAAAAGGATAATTTTCACAAGGTGTTGGTCTTGATTGAGGTTTGAACTGTAGCAGTCATGTAGTTAAAAGACCCCTTTGAATTTGTTGAAATTTGAAAAAAAATCTTTTATGTAAGACACATTTCCTCAACATTCACAATCCTAACGATCAACAGGAATACATATCCAAATTTTTAACTGCCAGAAAAATATTTTACACATAGCTTTGCCTGACACCAGCAACATTTTGAAGGGTGGCTATTAGGTTTTCAGAGACAATAACTATGCATAAATTTTGATATAATTCCATCTTCTGATTAGCCAAAAGCTTATCTGTACAGGGTTTATAAAGTTTCAATGTCAGTGGAGGTAACTGTGTGAAAAGTTGTTCCTAAAAGGACTAGCCATAAAATCCCAGCATGTTTGAAAATAAATCCTCAAAACTCTCACCTGTAAAGAGTGTACAAGGTTTCGGTGATGGGCAGAGTATTGACTTAATTTCGATAGTCCCCCTAAGGACTAGCCAAACAATCCAAGACAAATTTTAAAATCATAAAAACTCTGACCTGTGGAGTGGTTACAAGATTGCAGTGACTGATAAAAATCAATGTATGAGTTTTGATAGGGTTCCTTCTTAGAACCAGACGAAGAATTCCCAACCTGTAGAGAGATTACAAGAATTGTGTACAAAATACTGATACTTCAAGGGAAACACAACCATCAATTAGAAACAAGGACCATAACTCTAGACGTTATAAACGGAAATTATTGAAATTAAATAGACTTCTTCGTTTCACTAATTTAAATAATGCATATAAATTCCAGAAAGATAGGGTGATAACTTTTGGGGTTAGAGTGTCCACAAGGTTAAACAAAGTGAAACAAGGGCCTAGAAGTAATAAATGGAAATTGCTGAAATTCAATAGGTTTCTTCATTTCCCTAATTTAAATATTGCATATAAATTTCACAAAGACCGGATGTTAACTTTTGGCAATAGAGCGTTCACAAGGTTCAACAAAGTGAAACAAGGGCCATAACTCTAGACGTTATGAATGGAAATTATTGAAATTAAATAGGCTTCTTTATCTCACTAATGTAAACAACATATCGAGGGTATAGAACATAATTATGATAAGTCAATATATCAGGCATTGTGACTTATCACAATTATGTTCTAAACCCTCGATATATCAATTTTAAAACAATTGGATGACAACTTTTGGCATTAGAGCGTTCACAAGAAATTGTGGGCGACGGCAATATACGTCCACATTTCTATGTGGGCGTATAAAAAGGTAACTGTTTTGACAATCTCCAGCACTTTAGAAAGGTACATCTTGATCTTGCAATTATGACTAACAACAGCAGAAGGTGACGATAAAACATTAATACTAATATTTTTACAATCGAGTACAGCGTACTCAGTATATGCACCATAGATCAATTCTTGCAAGCACTAAAAAATTGAATTCAACAGAATGGGAATGTTGAAAATGACATTGCAGGCATTGGGTATAAAATGTGACTTTTTAAAAAAAAAGTTCTATGGAAGACACCATGATGTGCCGTTGTGGTAATTCAAGAGAGCATGAGAACTAGAGCTGTCTCACAAACGTTGGTATGACATCACACCACTATCCTGTGGCTGGCCGATCATTTCCAGCAGACAGAGTCCACTAGATCGACCACACGACTTGGGTGGCAAATCTTTGTGAGACCAACTCATTTTCAGCCAATATTTGCAGGATTGCATGCTATCGTCCACTGTACTGATTGTACTATGAAGAGTCGACATGGGTTCATCAGTATTTTGACACTGTTCATTGTCGAATATACACTCTGCCAGACTGTGTCCAAGACGGCCTTACGTTGGACAAATTTTGATGCAATTCTGTTACTGACATTTGATCTGTATGTGTCCACGTGGAAATTTTGTCATATATTGTTATCACCATTGTATATATGGATTCCACATTACAGAAGCTCTAGAGGCTAAACTTATCATTCAATAAGGTCATGAGACAAAGCCATTCCCATAATTACTGCCAGAGTTATTGGCCTTGATCATTTTGAAAAATCTTGCAGTCAATATAAATGAACATATCCTGAGAAAAAATCCAGTCCCAACATTCATCACAGATCAAATTTATTCTGGGGTCAAACATACATTATGCAAGAGCTAACTCTGCCTATTGCAGGTCTTTCTTTAGACCCGAAATGTTATATAAACCATTAATTAGACATTTATTAACATGAAAAGACCGTAATCAACTCTTGATGCCATCTTATGTGTTCAGTTTTCAATGGATTTGAATCCGATCAGCTGCTCAACACTCATGGATGATTAAATGCAAAAATGGATAATCTAGACTATGTTTTCTTTATCGCACCGACTTTAGTAACAATGATCGAGGCTAGGCCTAAAATTCAATCGCTAATACCTCGGTCCAATTTGACCGGAGCAATTTGACTGAAATCTTCAGCATATTCCCTTTACATTATCAAGCTTTTAATCATTAATAAGAACTGCCTTCTTTTTGTCTAATCTTCCATAATGCCCCTTTAAGCTGAGTGAAAATTTCTTTAAATAATCTTGAAAAACACTGATATAGAGAGAATTTTTTTATTGCATAATTCATTATGTGGAAGAATACTAAGTAGTTTAAATGCCATAATTATGCTCTAGAATAAAAATAAGTTGTTGTGTTTACAGCTTAACATATCAGCTGATGTTAAATATAGGATAAAATAATCTTTTAACAACATGGGACTGGCCTAACTAACAGAGCACTTCACATTTCACCATCAACTTTCACCAAAGTTTGTTATAGGTTTTATCAAACACATTTGTTCAAGTCTTTTCTTTCACTGCATAATTAGAAACATAACACTAGTATCCATCTCTACCTCTTCCACCTCTTCCCCCACGACCTCTACCACCTCGTCCTCCACGCCCTCCTCCTCCACCCCCACCCTGGTACCCCCCACCCCCACCTTGATAACCCCCACCCCCACCTTGATAACCCCCTCCCCCACCTTGATAACCCCCACCCTGACCTTGATAACCTCCTCCCCCACCTTGATAACCCCCACCCCCACCTTGATAACCCCCACCCCCACCTTGATATCCAGCACCACCTTGATTCCAATTTCCACCATGTGACTGAGAGTTTGAATCTCCCCAACCCCCTTGAACTCTACCACCTCTTCCACCCCCTCTACCTCCAGCACTGCCTCCTCGGCCACCTCGACCTCCTAAAACGAGAAAGGAAATGGCTCATTCATTGAAAATAAATAAAAAAACAAACGTTTCTGCACTTAATTTACAATAATAAAAAGGTAAATCTCTAATAGAATATCCGACCAAAATTGGTTCAATACCGATCAGTATTTAGAAAGATATCTTGAATTGAAATTCCATCAATCTATGTCAGACTATCCAAATATCATAAATGAGGCTAAGCAATACCCTCTGGAATCATTCAATTTTTTAATAAAGCTACTTCAAATAACCATGGGGGGGTTGGATGGCCCAATGTTTATTAGCACGTGCGCATTGTATCATAAGATCTGTCATTGAGTCAACTGGCGTGGTTTCGATTCCCCGGTTGTACATGACAAGCAGTAGGGTTGCTTGTTCAATCTCGTAGGTTTTCTCCGGGTCATCCGGTTTAATCCCACTGTTAACGACCCCTATGCACAAGCGAAAATTTGAAATAAAATTGAATAATATATTAGTCCCGAAATGACCTAGTCTGTGTCAAGTGGATCTCTCTCTCTCTCTCCCTCTCTGCTCTTTTGAAGTGATACAGGATTATCTGAGAACCAGATAATTTTTTCATATGGCAACAAGCCCATCACCATCATCATTATGTTTCACAAAATCTAATTGATGGGATTGTTCTGATTGAATTCAATCCTGGAGATTATCTAGCATTGATATTTTTGATTTTGTTTTCTTAATTAAATGTTAAATGATCAATCTGAGTACATATTATTATTAGCATGGACGAAGCAACAATGTAGTCCCCACAATATGGTTGGTCAAACTCAAATCTCTTGCCTCAGTGTTCCCTTGTTTGCGTCTAAATTTCTGGAACCCAGTGAATAGGCTGTAAAATGGTCAGGAACTCATCAGTTAAAGGGTTAATTAAATAGATATTGGAATTTCCTTGCATACAGATGGGCAGATAGTTGAATTACAATGATTAGCAAACATCCCCCAAATAACAAGCCAGTTCTCAGTCATTTAGATGATACAAGATCTTATATGTACCAGTAGATAAGTAAGGAGAACTCTTACCACTTGGAGTGTCTGATCTTTTCATAAAAGCTGGCATTTCTGGTGGTGGTGGTTCTAGTTCAAAAGCTCTTCCACCTCTGTCTGGAACCTAGAAAAAGGTTAGTGTCAAACTATTCCATAAATTGTTACTTTATAGAAATTTGCATATATGAACACAAGACTATTGCCTAGTTACTGGGTGGTTGCATAATTAATGAAGTTGTAATCATGGGTATAAGACCACATCATGTATATTCTTTAAGCACAAATAAAAGATTTCTCTGCATGTTGTCACTTTCTGTCATCTGGTTTTATTTTCAATCTGATTAAAATACAGATCTACATTTCGTTTTGTTTTTTTATACTTTCGATGGCCTACACTACATGAAGATCTGACATGTTATAGCGATAGGTCACGTCAGGGGTCAAAAGACCGACTTATGACCCTATGACGTCAGACATTTGATTAACCAATCAGCATTGATGTTACTAGTGGATTACCCACAGTTCTGTGAAAAACACGCCTAAAGCTCGCCATAACAGACCGTTTCATTGGCTTATCCCCGACACCATTCAGAACACGAGTTAAATAACAACTCTTCCAGATCCAAGTGTAGTAAAGACAAGTAAAACAAAATTTTGAACTATAAAAATGAAACGAAATAGGATCTGTGTTTTAATCAGATTGGTTTTATTTTATTTATTGGCAATAGATGTAGATATCAATCATAACAATTATACTCACTTTACCAATTAGAACCCGATTTATAGCACATTTAGTTCTTTCACGGGCCTCACCACTACTCGTTTTCTGTAATCTTGTTAAATCTGTAAAAATATTACATGCCAAATTTATCAAAATAGATAGCAAATAAGACCATACAAAATGCCAGGAAATAATTTTTGATATAACGAACGTAATTGACAGGAATATTTTGCAGTAGTCCTTCTTAGGGAGACAACACACTAAGTGTAGTCTATAGAACTGAATAAAACTGATCGTAGCCAAATATTTCATAATTATTACAAATCAAATGTTTTGCTGGTCTTGACAAATCAATGGATATTTAGATTCAATACAATATTTTATATGGTTTGACCATGTACAAAATTCATAACTTACCATCTCTTGCTGCTAATATTTGAGCAACATCTATATTAGTTTTAGATGTTAATTTTTGTCTAATTGGTTGATAAACTTCAGCTATTTTATTCTCATTTTTCTGAAAAATACATTAAATTATAGATTAACAATCATTCTGAGACTTTTGGGTGATTTTTACAAAAATAAATCGAAGAAATAACGGGCTAAGAGTACAATGATTAAATATTTCGAAATTCATGCTTTTAATACCTTTGCTTTTTCTGACCATTTAAATGACTGAATCGTGACATCAACTCTCTTTAATAACATTTCTCTTCGTACACGATATTCTTCTGTTAAAATATGATTAACTTCTAGTACATCTTGCCATTGTTTATCTGATAATCTAGCTTTTAATAATGGTTCGCCAAAAAGACTGGGATTCTGTGCAGTAAGTTCCTTCACCTAATGTGGAGATAAAACCTTTTACAATAAATCTACCCGTTATATTAGGTATAAAACACCAGAAAACTTGTAAATTATTTTGTGCTTCATATTTATAAGGTTAACTAGTTCAGTATATTTTCATATCACCCCTAAATCTTTCAACGATAAAACATTATTGAAGAAGTACAAAATCATTATCCCCTCATTGCCAAAAATACCAAAATATGTAGTATTCTTCAGCATTAATTAGCATAATTGGTATGGCCAATTCAATATCCGGTGAGCTGCTGTAGGCAAAATTATTGGCGCAGCCCAAAATTATGAGATCCATTTTATTTTCAGTTTAATCGACCTCCTGTCTGTTTATTTTAATTTAAATTACAATTTCAGATTATATATCAGACTAACATCTGGCACTAATTTTGGACATTGGTGAATTTCACCTGGAGCTTTAATATATGTACATGTACCTTTGCTTCAACTTTACTAAAGAGTTGAAAAGCAGTTATGTTATCGGGAGGCTTTGGAAAGTTTAAAGCAATTAATAAAGCCTTAAGAACAGCAGCTATTTCACTTTCTTTGGGTTTATCATCTTGTTGTGTAGTGTTGTTTCTGAGTGCACTCGGTTTTTTACTGGCCAAAATTTTTACAGCCGTTAATTCTGTTAATAAGTAATCTAAAAAAATAATAAGATGAACAAACATTAACCGTTTAGCCAGTGGAGCACCCGAAAACACTGCTCCCTCTAGTGTCCCAAACTGACTGAGTTACATGAATAAAACTACTCAGTAGTTTCAGGTGCTTTACAAAATGAGATTCAAAACTCAACATAAAAAGATCACTTTTCTCTTAATTTTTTCAGGGAGTTAGGATAGTCAATATTAACATGTACATGTATGTACAGTTGCTAAAGGGCTAAAATGGAAATTCAAATAGTTTTTCTCTAAACAGCTTCACAAATGAATATTGTTGTGTTGGGATCATACCTTGATATGCCTTCTATATATCAGCACGTGGATGGACGGTTATATTCGTATCTCAAACTCCCCTATATATCAAAACAAGACATTCTCGTGGTACGACCACACTTCGAAGTATGTGTAGTCTTTTATTAACTTCAATATATATTACAGAGAAGAGTGGGCAGATAACTCCCATCTCAGGTGACTCATATTACAATAATGATCATCCATACTCCTCGCAGTGTTTCGTTTGATTAGAGCTAATCCCACTACTCACTGCTGTAAACAAAGCAAATTCTTGTTCTAAATTATGACTGGTCAATAGTCCGATTAACAACCAATCGCTTACTGCGTAACAATATCAAACAGAGCTCCAAATTGGACCAAATATGTTTACACAACGTTTCGTAATGACGCGCGATTTTATTATGCCCAATTAACCAGTGCATAGCAGAATACTGGAGAAAAACTAATTGTGTGACAAACAAGGCTATCAACTGTCAACACGATTTTTACTCTGTGGATATTATGTAAACAATATTGTTTTGAGACGAACAACACTTTCACCGTTTTTAATACGTTAAATCACTGTCCAAAGTTTTAGATCTATATGAAAACGATCTATATGACAATTATTCACACTGCATAATTTCTATCATCTTCTAACTGTAATTCTAATATTACTCCATAAATCTATGTATGCCAATCATATATAAGTTAACAAAGAGAGTGCAGGAAAAGAGACCCTGCACATCAAATCAAAACACTTACATGTACATATGAACCATTCTATAAAAATTTACCAACCTAAAAGTTGTAATTTATTTTTTCTAGATGATAATCGTTGATTTACAGGACCCTCAGAAAACATTGTGTGAGGACAACCTATAATAAAAATAAAACATTAAAGAATTACCATTATGGTATATTTGTTATGCTTGTTGTAAATTTATAATATAACATTAATCATTTTAGACTATAAATTAATTTACCCCCCCCTCCCAATTAATATATCAAATTATTGATCAAATTAACTTGTTGTTGACCTACCATATTCTCTAAGAAATCCACTTAATTCTAACAGAAAATTTTGAGCATCATCTGGATCTGAAAAATAAAACCAGAACAACAACAAGTGCAACAATTAGTATAAACATGACTTTCCAATGAGATGATGATCAATCAGCACTCCTTTACTTTTTACATTAATGAAGGTTGAAGGAGAGTGCAGTCTACATGTATTTCTAAAGTTTAGACATATTCATTTGTTCAATCCCTGCATTGGCCGAGAAAGTTCATCCAGATTTTCTGGCGTGGTTCCCCCTTGTCAGTGATGCAGGTCGAAGAACCTGACAAGGACAGCTATCTATATGCTAGTCCTTCGGATAATACGAAAAACTGAGGTCCCGTGTATTCTTTGGAATGCAGTTGGAATTTGATATAAGAGTAGGCGATAGTGCCGCTGCCCGGGCAAAATATCCCTTATAGCACACTGTATGGCATATGCCCGTCTTCATTAGCCCAGCATAGGAGCAGAACAGTAGGACGTTAAACCCCATTTCATTTCATATTATATAGCCTATTGTTATTCATACAGCATGTACATGAAAGCAGCTCATTATTTTTAATAAAATGTAGATCATTTAAATGAAATCAGATATAGATTACATATACACTGTACCGGTACCAATATTATTTGAATACGTAGTGCAAATGTAGACTGTTATCTAAAAAATTACAGATGTCTGCATCATTTTATTCAGTGTACTGATAGGAATTATTTTGATAGGCATTATTCAGATAAAAACTGAACCCACTGTCCCACACATTAAATAAATTACATGCATTTGGTCAAGACGAACCAACAAGCTTAGACTGAGTCTCCTTTTATCAAATACATGTACATACTACAAGTTGTAATTGCATTAACATTTTCCTCCAGACCACAGAATTGTTTTAGTTCTTGAGTCACCCACACAACAACTTGGGAATAATTTGGAGATATACTTTCATCCTTTACAGCTGAATTAAGAGTGTTTTCATCTACAACTTCTCCATTATACCTGAAGTAAGACACAATAGACCTAAAAATACAGATGTGACATAACCCTTTGATGTTGGCATATCATTATTTAAATAATACACTGGCAACATGCCTATCATAATTTATACCAGACAATTTCATTGACAAGCACGTGCAGAATAGTGTCTGCATGGATCTTATGTTAGGCGCTATTGCACTTTCGCGCCTCTACCAGTTCCCGTGGTGTTGAGATTTGAAATTTTTAGGGGATGTTAATGGGGCGGGGGGGTCTAGTCATAATCTCACACCAAATTTCAGCCGAATCGATCAATAACTTTTTATTTTACCGATCTTTTAGATCCTAACGAGAAATGAGTTTATCCGTTCGACATAACTGTAGCGATGCTAAACGCCGCTAGGAGCGCTGGCTGTACTATTTACAGACATCACAAAAAGTTGACCGAGAAAAGTATACGCCGTGTTACGCCTTGTCATGAATATTCAGAGTGTCAAACATCGACCATGTGATGTTTACCATCGAGAAAAATAGATGAACTTGCTGTCGAGTAAGATTTTGAGAAGCTGAGGTAAGATTTTCTGATATTTTTCATGAATTGAAAATTTGAAGTTAAGAGAAATTTTCGAAAAAGGCCCTCGACGCTCAAGATTTTGGTATATTTGGAAAGCCCAATTCATTAACTACTTATTTTGACCGTTTGTTAAGTCCGTATCCCCCGTAGGAATTCGTAAAATGGCTGAAATTGAACCATGTGGAATTAAAGGGAGGTAACTCGTGGTTGATCAGGGTTCAGACCATAATTAAAAACCCCCAGACTTCAGTGTAAAAAAATGATGTTAGATTTGGACAGTTTTTTTTATTATATTGAATGTTACTAAAGCTACGAACCAAACTTTAGCCAGACATTTCACTAACAAAGGATAAAAATTGTGAATGTTGTTGACCACCTTGGATTTTTTTTTTCAGGAACTGTAGCTGAAGAAGTAAGCTACTGCTTATTAATATATATTCATCCAAATCCAAACATAGCCAAAGGCGATCCCTGATATTACTTGGTACACCATAAAATAGACAAAAGATGATGATATAGGCCTACTCATACAATTTGCATGAAGACTATAAAAGGGGGGCTTGAAACTGACTGTTTCTCAGCATTCTCAAGAAAGTCCATAATTATTATAAATTTGTTATGAATCATAGAAGTTAGTTTAATTTATTGTTTGAAATCAGTATTATTAGTAATATTTTTTTTGTTATTTCAATATTTGTGATAATATTTATTTTATTTTTAACATTTTCTACCTGAAAGAAGTGGCCTGATGCGTCAAATGTTTTTGTTTATTTTGAAAAATATCGCATATGAATAATGTGATTATTTTATATTGTTATTATTGGGTTTTTTTGTAAGAAGATACATGTATTAGAAATCTTATATTTGTTGATAAATGTGATAATGGTTTCTTTTTTTTTTTATCATTTATTTTAAACCGGTGGGTGAACATTTTTAATTTCATATTGAAAAGTAACAGACATGAATTTTGATCTTATTGTGATTTTTTTTAAAATATTTTTATGACATAGATAATGTCTCGACAAGATGTATCACCATCTGAATGTTTATATTGTTTTTATTTTCATGGGATAATGTCTCAACAAGAAAGCTAGACTTCTACCACTGATATTATAATATAGTATATCGTAATGCACATTTATCACAAATGAATTTTTTTAATTCTCTTTCATGTAGATCATATCTTACTTTTTATAAGCTTACCTTTTAATTTGTTATTAAGCACAGTACATTATGTTTTTATCATTTTGCATATTTATCAGACAATTGAAGTGATCATGATACTCATTGTTTAGGATTATTTGGACTCTTTTAAGATATTCAAATGTTTTAACTATGTTTATATTACTGTTTTTATTTGAAATTGTAGTGATGTTGATTACAAAAATATAGCTGTTATATAAATCATAGTTTAATTGTTAATTTTCATTCCTGAAACAAACAATCTCAAATTGATGTACATGGCAGCTTATAAACAGCTTACAGGTTTATTTCTCATTTTGCCACACACTTTTATGATTTTTAAAAATATCCACAGTATACGTTAGTATAACGGGTTTATAATTGTTGTATGACTGTGAATGGCCAGTGGTCAATGGCCTCGGAACCAGTAGGTGCCCAATTACATACATAAACTTGTTTCTCTTCGACATTGACATCATACGGTCAAAAATTGTGATTTAAGGTGTTGTCATGCAAAAAATAAATAACAGAACAGACTGAAAACACTTTTATGTGTGCTTATTCATTCAAAAATAAGCCTATGTATTAATGTCAAAGCGCTACAATTTAAGTACACACAAATTTGTCCATTTTTTTGCTGTGATTTGTGCGAAATCGGCACGGATCCCAACTTTGAACCTCTGTAACATAAAAAGTATATACTAGAATATTATAGTGACAATTTGGCTTTATCAAGTACATCTAGATCTTTAATAAGTGCAATTTTCATAGACCTATCTTGTATAGTTACTGAGATATTGGCTTCGGTCACTTTTTTGCGTTTTTTAAAAAAAGCCCTTTTTTAGCACCTCTGGTTTGCCTTCTTTAAAACGCTATAACTTTTTTGATTTTCAATATTTTTTCGAAATTTTTTCAGATTATTCATTCTAGATAGTTCACAATTGCAGTATCATTGTCATTTTTGAGTCATTGGTTGTATCTGAAAACCCGTTGGCAATGCTAATAACTGGTAGAGCCCACTAGAGGTGCGAAAGTGCAATAGCGCTAGTCTCAATGATCACCGTCTGTCTGAAACATGAAAAGTGAAGAAAAAAAATTCTTGTCTCTTCAAATTCAAAAATGTTTTTTAAAACAGACTATCATTATTAAAGAACCCTATCCGTCTTTACCATAAACTCACAAACATGCAAATCAATTAACAAAAAATCATTCCAATTACCCAAGGTCCTCCAAAGAATCTAAAATATCGTTTTCCATTTGGAATTTCTGCTGTACTCTGCAACTCTGCACGTAACAGATTGTGTTCTTCTTTAAGAAAGAATTTTTTTTGTCTGGACGGTCGAGTCTATGGTAGACTAAAATTATGGCTTAATCATTATTCACCCTCCCTAAATTTAGTTTATTATTTCAACAAACCATAAGAATTTTAAAAAAATAAAAATATATAATCTAGTCAAATTATACGTTTTTTCGGTTCATAAGAAGAAGTGATTTGATCACTGTTAGAAATTAATTGAAATATTTTCGCTCCATATATTCTTCGGTCATCTAATTTGTAATACAGAAACTCCAAGATGGCTTCCTTGAAAGAAATTGTAGTGATGTACCAAAATCTCAAAAGAGATTGGGACCGTAAACCCCAGAATTTAGATAAATGTGGAGAAACTCTTACAAAATTAAAGGTGTTTCTATCAGATCGATTAGAAATTATATATAATTTATTCTGAAATTGACTAAAAGGAATGCTTGTTTTTCAGGTTTCGTCGTTTCCAAAAATTTCAATTTTGCTTTGTCACATTGACAAAAGCAAGGCATAAACTTGTGGTTGATGTGACTCTATCCCTAACCCTAAGCCAAATAAAATAGAGCCAGGTCAACCATGATTGCCCAAACGTCATTCATATGCATACACTTTGATATTAAAACCCTAAAACCGTGAAGGTGTGTACCTCCTCTCAAACAAACGTTACCATCTTTAGAATCGAAATCACCAAGTTGATCATATTCTGTTGATTTCCCTTTCATCATAGCACATACACTGCATGGTGTAAGTCGATCATCATTAGCATAGTTTTTTCCAGACAAGTACATGTAAGATGTTAAACCTCATTTCTTTTCACATAAGAATACGTGTGACGTACTGTAAGTTGAAACTGTAAGAACTGTTTCCTATATGCTTTTTGGCTTTAATGACAATATTTCTTATAATTTTATTCAGATTGCCCTCACAGCAGTAACATTTTTACCTACAGATGAAGCCAACCCATCAAAACAAGAACTGTTAATAGCAAGTAAGAATCTTTCTTAGAATAAGTAAAACTAAACGATTTAAAATTTATTTACCTACAAATACATGTACCGTACTAGAAAATCACTATGATGAGTATGGATTCACATAAATTAAATGTTTCGCACATTCTGTTGTTGTCTTTGGTACCGTATACTGGTTTGTTTGGGGGTTTTTTTTTTGGGGGGGGGGGGGTCAATTGTTGACGAAGAACTAATAAGTAACAAAGTTTTGTTGTTTCAGAAACCATTTTTTTTATTTATCAATTCTGTGGATAAAGTTATGTATTTTGTCTTGTCAGTCACAATTCTCATATTATTTCATCATTAATCATGGAGATACATTTGATCATTATTCTAATACAGTTTACTCTTTTTAACTTTATTTTATTATATGAAATTCTTTTTGTAGGAGATATTTTGGAAATTGGTGCACAATGGGCAATAGCAAAAAGAGACATTCCAGCATTTGAAAGATATATGGCTCAGTTAAAATGTTACTATATGGACTACAAGTATGTTAGTTTTTTATTCTTTTAGGACTGAATTCTTTTGAGCTTTATTTAACATCCAAGTCAGTAAACCAAGTCCACTTATATGTGGATGAATTTTATTATCTTTATAATTAATTCAAGGATGACAAAAAAATATTTCAGAACAGTGAATGTACGGTATAAGTATAATCATGAAAAATAATTCTTTCCCAGTCTTACACTCATACACATCACTGCCACTCAAATGGAATAAATGTTTTATTTTCAGGGATGATTTACCAGAGTCCACATTTAAATATCAACTTCTAGGACTTAATCTATTGTGCCTTTTATCACAGAATAGACTAGCAGAATTTCATACTGTAAGTTATCACACATTTTAATTATGTATACCGGTACTAATATTATCATCTTTCTTGGCTTTGTTTGAGTAAGCATAGTGCAGATACATATATATATCAAATTTATGAATGTTTGTATTATTTCACTGATTTAATCTAAATGTGGAAATATTAATTAAAATTCATACATGTACACAAGTCAAATTTGGTGATCTTTCTTTTATTAAAATAATGGTTTTTAATAAAAGTGTTTTATCATTATTAGGAATTGGAGTTACTACCAGTGAAAGAATTACAGAACAATATTTATATTAAACATCCGGTTTCTATGGAACAGTATTTAATGGAAGGCTGCTATAATAAGGTATCGTAAATTATTATCTTAAACCATATTCTTGAAGTATTATTTACTATGTTAGTCTCCAGGGTAAACATGAATATATATATATTTGTTAATTTTGAAATGTTTACTGTGGTCATGCCAAATTATAGGAAGGGGAATTTCTCCCCAATGCTTCTTGGAATCTGGCGTGGTTTCGAATCCCTGGTTGTACGTGACAAGAAGTAGGGTTGCCTGTCCAACCTCGTTGGTTTTCTCTGGGTCCTCCGGTTTCCTCCCACTGCTAAAGACCCCTACGTGCAAGCAAATTATTGAAATAAAATTAAACCATATGTTAATCCCGAAATGACCTCTTCTGTGTCAAGTGGACGTTAAACTCCATTTCTCTCTCTCTCTCCACTTCTTGGAATTTCTCTGCAAAGGGTTCTTTAACATTCACACCAATCTATACACAGTGGTGGACTAACAGGCTGATAAATTTATTTTATTCTATTTAGTTATTTTCTTTATTCTCTCTAACTAATGTCATGTGTACATATTTGGCATGAGAAAATAAAAATTCAGTTGCTGCCTTGACAAAATTCATTTATGATTGACTTTATTCTTCATCGAAACATGTATTCTCTGTTACAGGTGTTTTTAGCTCGTGGAAATGTACCTGCTAGCAATTATAATTTCTTTATTGATATTTTACTAAATACAATCAGGTAATATATTGACATGTAGTAAATAAAAAATTCCCTGTGCCATTACCAATGTCAGTTGTTAGCATGACAGTGAATGAATAAAACAATTGATGGCAGTGAAAATATAGTGCAGTGAAATAAAAACTGACCCATTGAGCCTGACCAATAGGAATTGGGAAAGCTTAAAAATTTCTTGAATAAATCCCATTGTTTATCTCTTGATAATGTCATGTAATTAGGTTACCAATCAATTTAAGAATTAAGAGCGTAGATGAATATAATATAGTATGTTTTAACTCTGTGCATGGCAGAATGGTTAGCACGTGCGCGCTGTATCATAAGGCCTGTCATTAAGTCAACTGGCGTGGTTTCGAATCCCTGGTTGTATGTGACAAGTAGGGTCGCCTGTCCAACCTTGTGGGTTTTCTCCGGGTCCTCCAGTTTCCTCCCACTGCTAAAGACCCCTACGCGCAAGTGAATTATTGAAATAAAATTAAACCATATGTTAGTCCCGAAATGACCTAGTTTGTGTCGAGTGGACGTTAAACCCCATCCCTCTCTCTCTCTCTCAACTCTATGCAAAGACTGGATGTGCTTGGTTTGTATAAATTAATAAAGATATTACTACATGAAACTTTCTGGGGAACTTCTTTTTTTTTCACGTTCTTTTCCTTATTTTGAATTGGCAAATATGATTTTTCATTGTACCAAAAGTATTTCTGTAAGATTATAGTATTCTTGTCTGAATAGAATTCTCACAATGCCACTAACAGTGACAGATTTGTGACAGATCTGAATTCTGTGTCTGTTAATTCTATTAATTCGTAATGTTCCTTAATCCCAAATTGTCGATTGAATTCTGTCACCCTATTAAATGGTAAAGGTATGTCCTCTGAACAATGAAATGTGGTGAAAGGACAAATTTTGATATCTTTCTGCACCCAAGAAATGAGGCAGAAAAAATTATGTAAATCCACTTGCTGTGTAACTACATTGCATATAAGTATGATCTGGTTATCCCTCTATTAGTTAAAAAACTATTTTATCTTTATTTAAATTCCATGCAGTTTAAAATATTCCATAAATAATAACATTTATAGAATGAATTTATTAATGCTATGATTATTTTCATTTAGGGATGAAATTGCTGGATGTATTGAGAAGGCATATGAGAGAATAGCTCCAGCAGAAGCTGCAAGGATGCTTTTCTTTGAGAATCATAAAGCCATGACAGATTATGCTGCACAGGTAGGGAGATAGTCAACTATACCCCCCCCCCCCCCATTTTGTTTTGCATAAACTGCTGGTCATATTTACCATAATGTTGGTCAACATAATGATATAATGGTAATGCATATATTTTGTCCTCAAACCATGGGGACAGAGTAATTACTATCCATGACTTAACACAATTCCCAGTTTATTTCAATACTAGCAGGATACCCTGCTTCGTCATGGGTGCAAATTCGCACCGGCCCAATCTGTCCGGGGCCTGAATTGAATGGCCTATAACATTCACTGGGTCAGGGAGCGGGGTGGATGGCCGAATGGTTAGCGCATGCGTCTTGTATCATAAAGTCTGTCATTGTGTCAGCTGGCGTGGTTTTGATTCTCTGGTTGTACGTGATAAGGAATAGGGTAATATGTCCAAGTTTGTTGGTTTTCTCCAGGTTCTAGTTTCCCGCCGACTGTTAAAACCCCCTATGTTAGTCCGAAATGATCCAGTTTGTGTTGAGTGGATGTTAAACCCCATTTCTGTCAAGGGGTCATGCTGGTAAATTTGATAACACATATGTGGGGGTGGAGCACAGCACTGAAGCGTGATTCGTCTGGGACCCAATTCGATGGCCTAAAACATTGACGGGGTATGTAGTGCAACAACGAAGCGCGATGGGCAAACATACATACATACACGGTTTGATTTTATTTATACAGATACTAGCAGTTTACCCGATTTCAAGGCTCTCAAATGTGATGGCCTAAAACATTAATTTGTTACCACATATCGTTGAAGTGTCAAAAGGGTGTATCTCGGGAAATTAGTCAAATACACTTTTTTGCATTTTTAAAATCCCCCAATTAATATGCACATTTTTTTTCTAAGCTGTGTATCTCTTTGCCAATTAGAACTATTCTGGGTGTGTCCAAATGTTGTATCTTGATTTGTGGAAATTTTGAAATGCAAAAGGTTCTATTTCTTAATCTTTACAAATTCTTATATACACCCTTTTGACACTTCACCGGCGATATGTGGAGGTGGAGACGCAGCTTTATTCACCCAGGGCCTAATTTTAATGGCCTAAAACATTTACGGGTCATGCCACATATGTGTGTGGGGGGGGGACCACGGCGACAAAGTGTGATGGGCGAACATATATACATACACACAGACACTTTGATTATATTTGTATAGATCTATACTCTTTTCTATTGTAGCGAAATTGGTCAACACAGTCAGATAATTTCTACCATTACAAGCATGATGAAATAGATCAAGACGAAGTTATACCTGCTAAAGAATTAGCTGAACAGACTATTGAATATGCTAGAGAATTAGAAATGATTGTGTAAATGACAGTGTGTTAGAACATGAGATCTGGACCTGTATGCGATATAATTATCAGACTGTTTATAAACATTTGTTGACCCATCATTCAATCATTTACAATTATTCTCTACTTGACCACCATAAAAAAAAATGAAATAGAAGTAAAATGTTAAACAACAAATTTATTCTTCTTATAAATATTTACAGTTATTTAAGTTAATAAGCCAGTGTTTGATTGAAGTTGGTTCATAGTTCACCTTTTCTCAATCACACAGACATTAAATTAGGTCTGAATGATATTTTTGCATAAAACCTGCTTTCCAAATTCGATAACCTTTGAACTACAATAGCTGAGTATGCTAGCTGTGATCTCTAAGGTAAAAAAGAAAATGGATATATTAGGACAACAATTTGTTACTGTTGTTGCCAAATAGGTCAATCATGCAGCCATTAATTACAATTTGGAATATTTCACCATTGTAGGTGAGCCACAATAAGATACTGGGAAAGTCTCAGAGGGTAGAGCCAGTGTTCGATTCTCATACTTGTCAAATTCCAACCTACTGGACTTATTGTGGTTATTGGCTACTGCCATTTTTAGTTAACAACCTAATACATAAGGGTGGATTAACGAATTTCAACCAATCCACAATAAAAACTTTATTCAAATTTTAAAGGCTCAATACCACTCTTGTTGTAACTGAATAATATGTCCCAATCTTTATTCTGGTCAACAAATTGTACTATTATACAATATTCCAATTAATTGATGATACAAATTTCATCTTAACACACCTAATTTAAAAAATTGGAAAAATTCAACTAAATGATTTGAAAAGCCTGACGTAAAGCTTTTCAAATGTTACTTGGATTTAAAAATATTTTTGAACCCTCTGGACAAGTAAAATAGGATTTAATGGATAATTTAAACAAGCCAGCAAGAGTGTTATTGTCCCTTTAAGACAGCTATCTTTACTTGCAACATAATCTTTAGATTTGTTTGAAACCATGCACAGCTACAGATCTGGGACAACTGCCGGCCATTTTATTTCTTTTTTTTAGTATACTATATTAAATGATGAATAACCCAATCATGTATCTACACAAAACATCATAGAATTGCTGTTAATTTTATTGCAAACAGAAATAACTACCATTGAAAGTTTACTGTAATATTCATCTTCCAAGAGAGAACTTCAATTGAAAACCGTTATAGATAAATATAAGCCATATTTATAATATTTGAGTACAAGTGCATGAACAGATTATAGCTTGAAATACACAAGTACAGAAACTGTGCTAAGCATGTACTAAAAAGTGTCTGTAGTAATTTGTATTGGACTATCTACCTGGTGTTGTTCATAATATTAATCTGTGTCAATACTATAGATAATAAATGAATCTAAAGCGGTGGACACACTAGCCGAATCAATTGGCGTCGAAATTCGCCTAGTGTGTCCACTGTCATTCGGTCGAATGATTCGCCCGAATCAAACACGTTTGATATATTCAGCCAAATTATATTCGCCTGGTGTGTCCGCTTCGCCGAAGCATTCAGCCGAATATAGAATTCATTAGCCAATCACCACTCATATCGAGAAGTCACGTGATAGATTGAAGACATAGACGGCGCCATGTTTAAATATGTGACGTGAAAGGTGATGCAACCGACAGGTTGAATCGGGCGAAGCATTCGGCTAGTGTGTCCACCCATTCGACCGAATAAAATTCGGCGCCGATTGATTCAGTCGAACGATTTGGCCGAACGATTTGGCCGAACGATACGGCTAATGTGTCCACTGCTTAAGTATACATATATCAATGATGACATGATAATATTTATTGCTTATTTTTAATTTATTATGGTAACAAATACAAACGATATGGCCGGCAATTATCTTGCTTCTAACAAATACAAAAATCTGCTAAACACAGTTCTCTCACACATGTACTGGTAGATATTTACAATGTGCTGGTACTCGGTTTAGAAAATGGACCACTTGTCAACAAAGATCTCAGATTAGACGATTGTTCTAGGAGAGGATTTTTTAAAGCACCTGAAACCAAATACAACAAAGAAGAAATTAATATGGGCGATAAATTGTGTTAAAAGCAATAATTTAAAATGATACACATTTCTGTGCTGTAATAATTAATGGCTATTTTGAGAGCTGATGATGGCCAGGGACTGTAACAACCAAATATAAATGAAATCGAGTTTAACCTCCAATATTTCTGTATCATCTGTGCTAATGCAGATGGGCATAGGTCATGCAATGTGCTCTAAGGGGAATTATACCAGAACAAGGGCATTTACGCCAACTATTCATCCAAATGTTAAGGTTCATTTTATAAGGGGGGTTGGATGGCTGAATGGTTAGCGTGCGTGGGCGCGCTGTATCATAAAGTCTGTCATTGAGTCGACTGGCGTGGTTTCGAATCCTCGGTTGTACGTGACAAGGAGTAGGGTCGCCTGTCAAGCCTCGTGGGTTTTCTCCGGGTCCTCCGGTTTCCCCCCACTGCTAAAGACCCCTACGCGCAAGCGAATTATGTAAATAAAATTAAACCATATGTTAGTCCCGAAATGACCTAGTTTGTGTCGAATGTACGTTAAACCCCATTTCTCTCTCTCATTTTATGAGCATGTCAATGTGTACACAGTTTTGGTCCTTATTATTGTTAAATTTAAGAAAATGAAATAACATGGGGATCAACGTCCTACTGTTATGCTCTGACTGGGCTAATGAAGACAGACATACGCCATACAGTGTGCTATGAAGGAAACTTTGTCCAGACAGGGGCGCTACAGCCTTACAACTGCCAAGGGATCTTTCACGTGCAAGACAATGTCAATGTGCACATGGCACCTCGGTTTTTGGTAACATTCGAACAACTAGACAGCTGTCTGCCCTGCACCACTGTTAAAGGGAAACCATGCCGGAAAATCCTGATGAACTTTCTCAGCTAACACCAGGAGCGAAACCCGCAATCACCAGACTAGCAGCCACTTAGCCACCGCGTCTCAGGGCTTGCCACGAGACGCGAGCAGTTGCTCGCGCTCGCGCTGTGCTCGCGCAAAATTTTAAGAAAACCCTGTAAAAATAATCAAAATATTGACAAGTTTATTGCCGAAACTAAACCAACAATGTCAATAACTTCATAAATTCGTCTGTCAAACTGAGATTCACCCAGCTGCACGCGGCATTTCCTCCTTAAATTTGATTGGCTAAAAAGTTACTCAGCACTCTTGTTACTAAAAATACACTTTAGACCTGAACGTTATGACTGGTTTTCCTACGAACACCAGTAACGAACGCGTGATAATCGAGTCTAAAGTAAAGAATGTTTACATCCAGCATTAGGCATTCATGCTAAATGAACACGTTTCAAACTAATATTTACCGGTATTTCCTATTTTATCAGAACTTCGGTTTTTATTCCATTGTGCAGTCGTATAATTTTCAATCTAAGCGTAATAATGGCCAAAGGCAACCTGATTGCCCTATCCACATTTATTTCGTGGGGTGAAGAAATCCATACGGAAATTGGTTTTAATAAAGAAGAGTACGTATGACTGTCAAAAACAGAAAGCGATGGTCACACATGTTTACTGCAAACTTTGTGCCAGGAATAGCAATTTTCTTATGATTTTAAATTGAAACAATGTTACAAAATGTGTGCTCACGCAAACAACATTTTGCGTGAGCAATTTTTATTGCGTGAGCAGTCATCTGCTCGCCATCAATTTATTCGTGGCCAGCCCTGCGTCTCCTTTAAATTTAAGAAAAATGCTTATTCACTTTAAAGCACATTGCTTCTATAACCTACCTATTTGTGCTAGGATTTTCTTTAATGCATCAAAATGGACAACCGGATCAGATGTACAATGTTCTATACTCTCTAAAGATTCGTTTTTATTCACTTCAAATTTTACCCACTTATATCCTGGACATTTTTTGGCTCCTGGACAACTTTGTATCAGGTTACGAACTAGAGGATGAGACAAACCAAAGAAATCTAAACCATTACCACTTAATGCTGCCAATTCTGTTCCTCTGAAGAAAAAATTATTCATGTTGAAAGAAAAAAAATCTGTTTACAATCAGAGTCGGGACTAAATAAATCAGAAGACTACCAATGCTTTTCCATAAGAGATCAAATCAAAAAGAAATGGGGTTTGAAGTCCTACTTTTCTGCACTGAAAGGGCTAATGGAGGTGGGAAACAGAACTGGAATGTCGTTTGACATCCTACTTTTCTGCACTGACTGGGCTATTGGAGACGGTAAATAAAACTGAAATGGGGTTTAACACCCTACTTTTCTGCAACTACGGAGCAAATTAATACAGACCAGATCTTATTCTTTATTTCTTTAAGTCTACTGACTCAGATAACATATATACACATACACAATATATACACGGCAAGTAAATACAAACATTATAATTACATATACACAAACACAATATACACATGTCCATTAAATACAAACAGACAAAAAGTATGGGGATGGGGTGTAAATAAATTGTATTAAATTGCTAGCCTAAATTTAAACATGACGGAAAAATGCAGTAATTATTATAAGCTTCATAAAATCATCCGAACTTCTAAAATGACTTTAAAAGGCGGAAAATAAGCTAGATGACCTGGTATCTGGTACGTTCGGGCATTTTTATGCGCGAACTCTTAGTTTTTTTTTTACTGGCACGCGCAAAGGTACTATTTCTTTTTCTTTTAACATGTACCCAAATCGGGGATTTCGTGCGGAGGTAGTTCAGAGGTAAACAGTCTGTGAAGTACAACATTTGCCACTGTACCTGTATATCGCTAATTATAAACCGAATGTGTGAAGACAGTTCATACATATCACTCAAAAATTTTTCAGTACAAACTCAGTTGATTCACGCTCGATTTGCTACTAAACAAACCCATCGGTTTATTTTCTCAACAGTGTGACCCGAAGTGACCGCGGATTTATTGACCTTGTATGAACTTATCCATAGCTATATCCTTACACCGAGAGAAATTATCTAGTCTCGGTGAAAAGAACCATGGTCATCTGGTAGAAAATTACTTTTGTATTTTTTGGAACGGAAAACAGTGTTTTTAGAAGCAAACTAACCTGCCGCACATGAGGAAGTCATTATACTAATAATAAAAGGCGAGACCTCTTTTTGCGGCGCAGGCTTATCACTGAGTAGTAAACCGTCCACAAACAATAATATAGGAAGCCTAGTGACAGTGTAGTAAGTGGGCTATAGACTATAGGTTTGAGTCGAGATTACTGGCTTTCAGTTTACTCTGTTTTTGCGATAACCAATTATGTGAGAAATACCATACTGACATTCGGTTTTTAAAAGTTGTTCGCCAACTAAATGCGTTTGTTAGATACTGACAGAGCAGCCCCGAGTCGAACAATCGCCGCCTGAGCTGTCTTCGTCAGCTAGTTTCACAATATCGTGCAATAGGTGTATTAATGTGATTTTTAGGTTTAACCCCGCAAACAATGCCAAAATAGTGTTTTCACTGCTTACAGAAAACTGAAATTTAAAAAAAAAAATTTTTATGAGGGTGACCCTCCCACACACTCCCTATCGAGCTGCCGCTCGGTCTGCGCAGCCTCATGCCTGGCACATACTGTCAACATTGTATATTTTTCCGTTTCCGCCCTTCCCCCCCACAATATATATTTCACGGCTACGTTGCGACGGTACCAGCATACCCAGTTGTTGACACCCATTACATCACTCCTGTCTAACAAATCATAAAGCTGTGGTGTTACGGTGGCGGCATAGTATTTCACCGTAACACCACAGCCACTCTAACCATTCATAATACATCTAACTATCCCTTTACAGCACTCCCTACACATTTCCCCTCGTCCTACTTTCCCAAACGTCAACAACACATCTCATACATCCAGTTCGCTGATTAACCCTTGTACCACGTCTACTGGATCAAACTGGCTAGTTTCTTTGTAAATGAGCCCATGCATTAACATACATATAACCAGGTTAATGTTAAAGGACAATATTGGTGCCAGTCATTATCACATATGTGATAGAGCTGGTTAAACACATTCCAAATATAATTTTAACACAGAGATGATTGCTACGGTAGCTGAGTAATACATGTTTCTTGAATCGGAAGTGACGAACGCCAAAGGAAAACACGAGTCATCTCTCTATATAACTGACAGATGTGACGAGTTATAACAGATACACGGCCGAAATTTCTGCTCACTAATAATTGTTATTTAATTGTTTAGAGTGGATTTTAAAGCTCTGCGATATTTCCTATCCTTCACGAAAAAAAACCCACTTACTTGGCCTTATTGATGATTTTAATTAACTGGGCTATACATTCATCTGGAGTAAGTGCCCGAATTATTTTTTCTGGACTATCATCAGGGGCGATATCAAACTGAAAAACAATAAAATGAGAGAACAATTGTAAAGACAAATCATTAAAAGGGAAAGTAATTGGTGAAAATCAATAGGCCAATTTATCTTTAAAGTCAGTAAATAATTTTTAAAAAGATCAATTAATAACTTTAGCATCCATATAATCCGCAAAAGGAGCTAAATCGTTAATATTTGAGATCTAGAAATTGACACAAATAGGTTGCAACGCATATAATAATGTAATATAAATGTATATAAACTGTTTTACATTCAGTCATTTCCGTTTTTACTCTAATTGCAATCAGTTATGTTACACGAAATACTCCAGAATTCTCCATCAAATGGCAATCTCTAGCGCCTGGTTATTCCAGTCTACACCGCATGCTCTCCAGATAAGAATATGTCTAGCATCGTTCTTCGAATCCCTTGTTACGGAAGGCGTTAAAACGCTTTATGGTACACGAGTCGGTAAAATGTTTATTTTGTGTTAAATATTGGATATCAGAAACCCATCTTTTTCCGGTAAGATCACAACATAAATGTTGATTTAGATTGACAAATAATTCGTGTTTCCAATGTCGAAGACTTTGGATGCTACTTTAATATGGGTATATATGAATTCACAATAAAATAAACTTACCACTGGTCGTGAGCTAACATCAGATATCTTACATGTATACATACATTTAACATCAGGATTATGCATATTAGCATATAAACGTGTACTAACATATCCAACAGGATAAATACTATCTGTACAATGAAAGTTACCCTTGTCACTTAAAATCTGTTGAAATAAATAGAAATAACAAGCAGGTGATTAAGTATAAAACAATTAATATTCAGGGGATGAATGTATTGCTGAATCTGATAGTTCTTACTGAAAACTGTATACAGACTCATTCTTATTTCAAAATATAGGTTGTCAGGCACCGAAACATATGCCCCACCCTAGCAGCTTAATCATCCAATCAGTCCACAAGGGTTGTCTCATATTTATGCTTTTGAAGGTAATACAAGATGCTGACATCAATTTTATACAGATCAAATGTTCAACAAGCCAACAGTGAGGCTGATGTCCCCCGCCGAAATCCCAAAATAAATAGATGACACATATTAATTAATTGTACATTTACTTTTTTCAAAAGCATCAAGCAATCAAACTATTCACTAAGTTTCATCACTCTCTATCAGATAGAATCAAGATTATCTTGTCCCAAAGCATCGACCAATGAAATTGATTAGCTCTGATTAGCTTTAGCTTGAAATGTTAAATCATTGAAATCTGTCAAGACATTCACCTAATGAACATCTACATCAGGTTTAAACATTCTACCTCAATTAAAAGCAGAATTTTTATGTTCCAAAGTCTTGACCAATCAAATTGCTTATTGCTCCTTAGCCCAGGCAGAAAATTCGCACAATTGAACTTAGTCAAGGTAATGATATAATGAATCTATATTCAGAGTTTCATCGTTCTCACTTCATTATCAACCAATCAGATTGCTTATCTCTGCCAGTCTTCCTACCGTAAGCAGACAATGCTCATCTTCGAACTCCATCAAGGCATTGACCCAATAAACACCTACACCAACTTGCAAGTTTGAACATTCCACCTCAATTAGAAGGAGAGTTATTGTGTTCCAAAGTCTCAACCAATCAAATTGCTTATCGCTCTGCTTACCCTCAGCAGAAAATGTTCATTATCGAACTTAGTCAAGGTACTGATGTAATAAAGCTATACACCAAGTGTCCTCACTCTCACTTAATTAGAACTTAAGTTATCGTGTCCCAAAGCATCAACCAATCAAATTGCTTATCTCTGCTTACCCTAAGCAGAAAATGCTCATCTTCGAACTCCATCAAGGCATTGACCCAATAAACACCTACACCAAGTTTGAACATTCTAGCTCAATTAGAAGGAGAGTTATTGTGTTCCAAAATCTTGGCCAATCATTATCGAACTTAGTCAAGGTATTGATGTAATGAAACTATACACCAAGTTTCGTCACTCTCACTTAATAAGAACTAAAGTTATCATGTCCCAAAGCATCAACCAATCAAATTGCTTATCTCCGCTTACCCTAAGCGGAAAATGCTCATCTTCAAACTACATCAAGGTATTGGCCTAATAAACACCTACACCAAGTTTGAACATTCTCGCTCAATTAGAAAGAGAGACAGACAGGCGGACAAACCCATTTTAATAGTCTCCTGCTTTCCTCGAAAGGCGGGGGAACAATAATGCATGTAAATTCAGTACAGATCAAATGATAACTTAAGTAGTTAGGTGAAAACAAGTGCCAGAACTCTTGAAGTTTTGAACAGAAATTGATTAAATTCTATAGGCTTGTTTTATTTATTTAAATAAAGCCTGTAAATTTAATACAGATCAGATGTTAGAGCATTCACAAGTAATTAACAGAAATTGTTGAAATTAAATAGGATTCTTCGCCTCATTGGGTAAACAATATATATAAATTTCAAACTAATCAGATAATAAATGTAGTCTGTAGAGTGTTCAAAAGAAATTGTGTTCACGGAGGTGACGGCACTATTCAACCACATTTCCATGTGGGTGTATAATAAAAAGTAATGAAAAAAATGGATTATGTTAACAAAGCATACAATTATCATTTACACGAACAATTACATCAACGGCCCTCATAGCTTATATATAATAGCCCTTGAATTGTTACATTTCTGAACTGCCTGTTGCTTAGTTATTGCTTGTTTATATTTTTCAGACAGAGTTGATCGGCCACAAAGAGGCAAAATTAAACATTTTCATGACAATTATGCCACTCTGGGCACTTGTTTACACTTATACAATCAAAATACCTGGCTTTGATTCAACTGAATTTAAAACAGGCCTATCATTTAATTTTCGTGGACAACAAAATAGCAGTGGGCTAATTGCCGCATAGATTCATGAAATTTTTCAATTCCACATATCTTTGTAAATACTGAATGTAATTGGGCTGATACACAATATTTTATGCGATTCCTATTGCTTTAATTGTTGCATCAGGAATTAAATGAGACATGAAATAAAATGACGTTCAAAGTCCTACCATGTCAGAATATATTCAAAAATTGACCTGACACAAAAATAAAAATAGCAAATACCTCTCCTATACTATGCAGGGTTAGATCTCCCATCACCATTGGAAAGACTGGTCGACCTAGAGAATCTAATGGTATAGGCGGTATGGTACGTTTCATATTTTGACTTTTTGATTTTTTGGGTTTAGGTTGAAGAGAATCTAAAATACAATAAGCACATTTCTTTTTAAAATATGAATTTTTTCATAAATGTGGATGCATTATGTAAGAGTTCGATACAGTGCTGACAGGTCTCACTATAGTATGTCAAAAATAGATAATGAAAGATGAATATATTGAAAATTACAGTCAAATTACTTAATTCTGAGTGAAGTTATGGCTATTTGAAGAAAAGTGTAGTCTCGATTGACATTGCTACCATTGTTTTGATAATAAACAAAGTCTCGATTATCCATTTTATAATTAAATTATTAAGTGACGATTGTGTTTAAATCTGTTGAAAATCACAACCATCTGATGTTCTAGAGTGTTGATTATGGTTTGGCATGTGGATAAATATATCATTAATGATTTATATAACATTTAAAGCCAAACTCCCGCCAAACAAAAAAAAGACCTGCAATAATGCATCTTTAAATATTGTTTCAAATATTTCATTATTAAGTGTAATACATTTTAATATTTATTTAGTAATTTAATAATAATCATTGGTAATTGAGGTTTCTGTCTTGTCAGCAATAGGATTAAGATTTAGCACAAAATCTGACTGCCTGGTGAGATCCATTACACTCTATAACTAAATAATGAACCGTTTGTCATGACCTGAATTTGAAATGTGACACTGCCGCAGTAAATTTTGGCGTATTAAAGGAAAATAACCAACCTAGAATTTCTTTAGTAGTAGCAGCCTTTTTCTTCTCAATAGCAGCAGCTGAAAGTTTCTTTTTTGGCTTCACCTTAACAATAACCTCGGTACTACTAGGCTCTGATACTACTACTGAACTACTTGGACTTTTAGAGGCTTTATTAACAACAGATGGTTCAGTTTTAACAACTGGACTTGTTACATCAGGTAAAGATTGATATTGTAATAGTTTACGTAATAGATATCTGTAACAAAACCAAAATATTCAGTTTTTAAATAAATTGTAAATTTAATCTCAATAGGTCAATATATTAAAAAAGATAGAAATGGGGATTAACTTAACCTTCACTTGACACAAACTAGGTCATTTCAGGACTAACATAGTACAATTTGATTTTACATACAAGCTTGAGATAGACCCCCCCCCCCCCCCATGTGATCAGAGAGAGACTCGAGTTGACAAACACTAGGTCTTTTTTTTGGGACTAACACATATTGAAAGCAAATGATTGTATTAAAAAACATTATATATACTATAGGGCTGTTAAAAACATTAGACTAACAGTTAGGCCATATTCTACACAGATAGAGAGAGATTTTTGGACTAACATATGATTCAATTTGGAAGAAAACCAGAGGACCTGGAGAAAATATACGAGGTTGGACAACAGTCGACCCTACTCCATGTTATATGCAAGCGGGTAACCGAAACGACGCCACTTGAAAAAACGTGCACATGTTACACCATTCGACCACCCAAACCCGTAAATTCTCTGATTGATAGGTGGTCAAACCTCTGTGGATGGTTGAACCCTAAACGACTGTTTTACATTCATCAAAGGAAAAAAATGGCTAATGCAATTTGGCGGTTTATGCCTTTAAATTTGTTTCTTTTACAAATGATATCAATTTGACCTATATAATTTGAATTTCTGACTTTATTTGTAGTATTATTATTATTATTATTATAATCTTCTTTATCCATGTCACCCCACCCCTCCTTTAAAAACATAGTGCACAAGAAAAACTGGGTCTTGAATGCCTATTCACAACTTAAACATGAAAACAGCATTTACTTCAACAGTCCCAGAATGCAGTGTAAGAATAGTATACCTTCTCTCTTCTTTTACTTTAGCCAGCTTTTCTTCAACCCGAACTACTTCATCACACGCCGCTGCATTCAACTATAAAATAATCATTTCACTAATAATATACTAATATTGATCTCAAATATTTATAATTAAAGATAGAGTTTCAAAATAATTCACTTAAATCACAGTTCATATTACAGTAATCAGTACTAATCACTAATCATAACATCATCCAAATTAGAGAGAGAGAAATCGAGCTTAACGTACACTCGACACAAACACATGGTTCAACCGTATTTCAATAATTGACTAGCATGTGGGGTCTTTAACAGTGGCAGGAAACCGGAGGACCCAGAGAAAACCCATGAGATTGGACAGACAACCCCCACTCCTACAGTACAAGTGAGCAATCAAAACCATAACACTTGACTCAATGACAGACCTTATGTTCAAATGTGCACGTGTTAACCATTCAGCGCCCCCCACCCTCCACTCTCCTGTTAGGAGCCATGGTGGCTAAGTGAGTAAGATGCTGGCTTACTCCCAGTGTTGGCCAAGAAAGTTCATCGGGATTGTCTGGCGTGGTTTCCCTTTTCATGACAGAGGGCTCGACAAGACTACATGGTGTATGCCCGTCTTCATTAGCCCAGTCAGAGCAGAACAATAGGATGTTAAACCCCATTCATTCCATTTCATACACCTTAGTCCAGTCTTTTAGTCATTTGTAGATTAGATATTATTAATTATGATATTTCTGCATTGACTTGTGGGATATGTTTTGTGTGGTTATTTATCAAGCCTTTAGTCCATAGAGAACCCGACATAGACAACTGATTTTAAAAAGTTTTTTTGTATCAAATATTAGATTTCCATGATAAGATAACATCAATATTAATTAAAATGGACTAATATTTAATTATAATTTGTGTTCTTAATTTCAAAGATAATGAATGATATTCAGTTAGACATTTACCTCTTTTATTGTAGATTATTCAGATACGTTGTTCTAAAACCACATCCTAACAAAAATATGAGATTTATAATGTACTTACAAATACAGTATTTTTAACTATTTTCTTCAGTTTCCGCCATTTTCTGTAGTAATAATCTTGGGATCTACCGGTGTTATTTCTGACAGCTTTAAACTGTCCAGGAAGTGATAAACGTGCAAGGGCTTCTGAACTAAAAGATGCAATTAGATACATATAATAATTGTACTGTATAATAAACTGGCCTCACTAGAATGATTCTTCACAAAAAAATTATTTAATATTTTACATATCAACTCATGTAGTCAAGTTTACATATCAACTCGTGTAGACAATTTTACATATCAACTCATGTAGACAATTTTACATGTCAACTTGTGTAGACAATTTTACATGTCAACTTGTTTAGACAAAATTACTTGTCAACTCGTGTAGACAATTTTACAATAATAATTTGGGGTTATAAACTGTATGAGTATTTGTTTATTTCAAAATATTTGTTTTGCTTTGTTAAATATTATTTACAGACGAGTTACCTATCTTGACTATAGAGAGGAGTCTGCATGTAGCCAAGTTTATTTGTCTAGATCAGTGGTTCTCAACCTTTCTTTGCCAATGGCACAGCATGGAACACATGAAAAAATAGCGGCACACCTGACTAAATATATATGAGAAATATTTGTATTTTACAAAATAAAAACCTGGTAAGTCAGACGTCATACAACCGTAGACAGAGACTAGTCATAGACCCATAGAATGAATCAAACTACATAAAGAAAAACATAGCTTTCAGTAGACACCAGTGAATACTCAATTGGGATCATGTGGTTTTTCCCATTTTCTTAGTGTGCCATTCAAAATTCTGCAGCACACTTAGGAAGATCTCGGGGCACACCTGTGTGCCGCGGCACACTAGTTGAGAATCACTGGTCTAGATTAAAATTTACCTCTGAATTGGGATTGGCATCTGTATTGGATTCACAGCCGGGAAAGGTGGTTGATGTGATGGATGAGGTTGCTGTACTATTCTACGTTGCAGATCTATACTGGGATTTGTAGGAGTTGAATTCATATTTATGTTATTCATTCTCTGAAATTTATTTCACAATAAAAAAATTATTAATTTATGCAATTCACATTACTGAAATATTATGATTTTTTATGCAGATGTTTTTCAAAATGCTTTCAAAAATATTGTTGGCCTTGTAACTTATTCATATAATTGCAATTAAGTCTCAAGCAGCCACAAACATGCCATAATTATAATTCTAGAAGGGTTATCTTCAATATTTTAGCTTGAGCTGACACAAATAAAGGACAGGGGAATTATATAAAAAAAAAATAGTAAACTGCCTTGGACTCTAGTCTCTTGGAGTGTTTTGTTTTGTCTGATAGATTATTCAAGAAGAGTTCCAAGACAATTAAACATTTAATGAAACTTTCATGGAGAGAACAAAATGTCTATGAACATTTCAAGGAAAGTTCTATTAACATTTCCTGTGAACATTTATTATCCCATCCATTACTTTATCTGGTGAAGTAGCTTTGCAGACTATAACATAGCTACGAGAACATAGCTAAAAACGTTGAGATATAATGATGTTCTTGTTTTTAGATACGATTGGGTGTCTTTAGTTTCACCTGACAAACTTAATTTCATTACTAATGCATGTAAAAACTTAAAAATAAGTTGACTTTATACTATTAGAACTTATTAAACAAACACAGCCCAACGTAGTGAAACAACTTTTGTTTATCAGCAAATATTGTCAATAAAGTAAATCGAGCGTTGTTTTTATAAAAATTGATATGGAGTGGACATCCATAATTACAGTGTATTAGTCTTGCGCAACTCTGATCAGGTTAGTACTTTGATTGGCTATCGTACACGTGGCCCCTCCCTTATAAGGAAAAAATTTAAAATGTCCGGTAAAGCAATCTATTATCGCTTCAATTTAATAGGGTAGGGTTATAAGCTTAATTGTTGTTGGATGTGGCAAAAATATTATAAACAACAATAATCAATAGTTGTTTTGAAGAAAAAATTGTCAATTTCTCTTATTTGAAGCCCGATGTGATTAGTGTTGGGGGTTGGACATTCATGTTTGATGTGACTCTAATTTTTGTGTCTCAATATTTCATTGTTGTTGAAGATTTTGTCTTACTCATTGGTTTTAATCTTAAACCCCTAACCCTGAATTTATAGGTTCAAATCTTAAATACCTGACCCTAATCCTAAAATGTAAAAGTAATGGAATGTAAAAGTGATGGAAATAGAAAAGAGAGTCGGATCAACCATACATGATCGACGGGAGTTGCAAGTTGGATCTATATACTAGTAGTACGGTAGTAGTACCATCTCTTTTAGTACCATCTCTTATCTCGAAACAAAGTCAAAGAGGTTTCTTATCTATCTCGAAACAAAGTCAAAGAGGTTTCTTATCTAACTAAGGCAGTCCACAATTTTAGGTGGAAGGAGGTCTGTACTTCACCTCTTTTTTATGTTAATTTACTATTTCATTACTTTTTAATTTTGAGAATATTTTCCTACTTCTTTAGTTTATTTTTTTTAGCACTATGAGTATGACTATTTTTAGAGTACTAACTACTATTATTTATTAATTCAGTTGTCTTCCATCTATTTTAATATTTAGCTGTTCTTGTTGTAAGCGGCGATTCTTCAAAACTACGATCATGATCAATTACTCACTGAATGTGTATGGTATTACAAGAATTGTGCAAACGTTAATTAAAACACGACCTAAACAAAAACAAACTTTAGTATGGGGGTCCTATCGGAAGTATAGTCTAAATGGATCTTTTTATGACAACAGAAGAGGTTAATCAAGGGGAGACTATCAATTTAGAAGCATTCAATTTGGAAGCAGACCACTAATGTTTTCAATTTCTTGAAAGTTAGAAATGATTTTTATTTGCAATTATGAACATTAGATATAAACAAATCAGGTTAAGACAAAACAACTGGCGTTTTGACAAATATTTTGTGATTTTGTTTAGAAAGAAACACACCAGACTAGGATGGATAGTTATACCCGAAAAATAAGAAATCACCGTAAGTGCAACTAATGTTTTATCGTTTGGTTGAGCCTTTTACTAACCACGTGTTTCATGTTAATAAATATTTTCTTTCGTGTTTTGAATTGGCCTGTTTCTAATTAATTATCCCGAGTCCCAAACGTCGTATACCCGAGTCCCAAACGCCGTATACCAAAGTCCCAAACGTAGTATACCCGAGTCCCAAATGTCGTGGTCATATTTTTTTGAGTCCCAAATGACGCGAGTCCCATATGACGTGAGTCCCAAATGACATGTAAATCCTGATAACATATCCATGGACTCGTACGTTTTGGAAACCATGCGTGTGCTGCGATATACATGTATAAGTCTTCAACGAACTACCATATGGAACCTATCCAAGCCAAACAATATGGGTCGTATTTACGGATGTTTAATTGTCGGGTCTATACGGGTTTGTCCAATATTAAAGCATCGTCATCAGCATCATGCACTCTAGATCCCATTCCCACTTGACTCCTAAAACAGGGTCCCAGCTATCACGGATATTGTAAATTCCTCTTTGGCTTCTGGCTGTATGCCGGAGGTTCTGACAGAGGCGTTAGTGTTTCCGCTACTAAGCCCAATCTTGGTAAAGAATTAACAAAGAATTACAGACCGGTTTCTAATCTTTTATTTCTTTCAAAAAATTTTGAGAAAACCGTTGCAACTGAATTTAAAAGACATTTGCATATTAATAACCTCAACGAAGTATTCTAATCTGCATATAGAAAACAACACAGCACTGAAACCGTCTTATTACGTGTTCAAAATGACTTACTAAACGAAATGGATAAGAAACAAACATCAGTACTAGTCCTCCTTGATCTAAGCGCTGCGTTTGACACGATAGACCACCAAATTCTTTTTAAAAGATTGTTGAACAACTTTGATGTTAGTGGACTAGCCCTTACATGGTTCCAGTCATACACTGAAAACCGTACACAGACAGTGGTTATCAATGGTTCCCCATTCAACTCAACGGTTTTAAAGTATGGCGTGCCACGGGGTTCCGTTCTCGGTCCTTTATTATTTACCACATACAAAACATCTTTAAGAAATGTCATTCGTAAACACGGTCTTAACTACCATTTGTACGCCGACGACACTCAAATTTATATATCTTTTGAGCCTTCTTCTGAACCATCTGAGATATGCAAACTCGAGTCCTGTTTATCAGATATTCGTAAATGAATGGACTCAAATCTATTAAAACTCAACGATGACAAAACAGAAATAATGAAAGTCGGCAGCAGGCAACAACTACTAAAATCTAAAACAGAAAACTGGCAATATCTCTATTACACCAACAGATTCTGTAAAAAAAATCTTACAGATTTCGGCCATGTGTAAAAGTATTAATTTTCAGATTTATAATATTGGAAAAATTAGATCTTTCATTGATAGTGACACGACTAAAATGCTGGTAAACACTATGGTTACATCAAGACTCGACTACTGTAATCCACTTTTGTACAATCTACCTGAAAATAAAATCAAACGACTTCAGAAACTTCAAAATAAAGCAGCCCGGATCATAGCCAAGACGAAACCAAATGAACATATGGCACCAATTCTGAAAGATCTCCATTGGCTTCCAGTCCGTCAACGTATCAATTTTAAAATACAATGTATTGTCTATTACGTATTCTGCTCTAAATGACGATTCTTCACCTCAACACCTTAGAGACCTTCTCAACACCAATAAACCTTGCAGAACGCTTCTATCACAATCAGACAACCTCTTAATTAAGACTTTTTAAAAAACAACTCCGGTGGTAGATCTTCGCCGTCGGTGCTCCGAAGTTATGGAATTCAATATCAAACGAAACGAAAAGCGCAAATCATATTAAAGGTTTTAACAAGTATCTCAAAACCGAACTTTTAAATCAAATATACAACTGATTGAATACGGTTCTAGCTGTGTTTGTGTCAGACTTTTTATCCTCGCCACCATGAAAAACAAATTTTGATTTGTGTTTGTGTCAGACTTTTTATCCTCGCCACCATGAAAAACAAATTTTGATTACTAACGCTAATGCAGGAATGCTTTGGCCAGTAAGTCACTCAACTGATATAGATGTACAGTGTTAAAGTGGCTTTATCCTATTTATATCATTAGATATATCAGTGTGTAAATGGCTTAGCTCCAAAATACTTATCCGACCTTATGCAAATACATGTTCCCTCACGTAACCTCCGATCAAACAGACTTCATCAGTTGTGTTGCCCAAGGTGGAAGCTAAAATCATTCGGATACAAATTATTCGCAGTTAATGCACCTAAAGAGTGGACAATCTACCAGAAATCATTAAATCATCTTCAACTCTCTCTTGTTTTAAATCAAGACTTAAAACCCATCTTTTTGAGAAATGTTATCATGATTAATCGAATTAATTAACTGTATGCGCCGTGAGCATGCCTCTGTGCATGGAGTACTAGCGCCATATAAATGTACATATTATTATTATTATATTATTATTATTATTTTAAATATAGGAGGTCTGGTCCTATTTATATTATAACTGATATCATAGCAAAAGTCACCCGTCTCTAGCAACCACCCACGACACGCAAAGTCATCTGTATAGCTGCTTGTGGGATCCTTTAGCTCAATTAAGTGTCGATTTGTTATTGGCACAAAACAATTTTGTTAAGGGGGTAATACCGGATTAAAATTTCACAGAACAAACTAATTAAAGTAGGTAGACGTATGCTAAGCAAATAACAAAGCCTGGATAAAATAACATAATTACTTCTTCCTTGAGAGAACGTACTTGGCTCTGTAGGATGGCGCATGGCGGATGAACTCAGAAATACTACATGTATTTACAATTGATATGCCTAAAATCGTGTTGCTTTTAAACTATATACATAGTGAGAACTGAAAGGGGTTACAGTCGATTGAAAACCGATCTTGCAGACAGACCGGATTGGAATTCATCTAGTGTTTCATCGGAACTTACATGTAGTGGCAGTTGGCTAATAAGTTCCTGAAAGAAATGTTGCTGCCCTCTTGTTTGACTGCCGTTCTTTCTTAATATGTCTTATTGTATGATCGAATTGAACCTTTGTATGTCTTTGCAAAAATATCACAGCGATGTCGTTGGTTGTACATAGCTTAATTAACAGTTTCCAAGAAGGTCTCAAACAGATAAAATGTATTTGGACAGGCCCCCTAATTACCTATAGCAATCACATCTCAATGTATTATGCTGTCACCTTGTCTGTCCATCGGTCCGTCAGTCAACAATTAAACTCCTGAACAGAGGCTACAGTTTTAATAGTGCACGTAAAAGAACCTGTGACAGGTGGAATTCGATATAACAGTAGGACGGGCAAAATTTCCCTCATAGCAGGCAAGTAGGACGTTAATCTCTATTCCATTTGTCCTCTTTTCTAAAAACCTTGTTAGATCGTACTTGATTACATGCCCGGAAAAGCTTGTGATCACGGTAGAGATTAAGTTTCTTTGAGGTATCCTTCTCAAATTTGATCAACATCCAAGTTTTCATTTCGAATAAGCTGCTGTCTATGGCTTTATTTTGTTTTATTTTCTTTTTTTCACGACAAAACTTGGTGGTCATCTTTTATATTTCAAAAGCACTAAAACATACGCGATTCGTATTGATCTGTATTTAAAGGGCCAGAGTGCAGGGAATGCACGTGCAAAACGTGTGACACGGGACTGCTTAAAAGTGTTGCGTTTGCAGGAACAAAGTTCATTACCGAGAACTGATATTGGGTTCAAACCCAAAAATCCGTTGCGTTTTTAATGGCTTTGAGTATATATTCACGGGATTAGAATGTTATTTTCCCTGGAAATCTATAAATCTTGTTACATAATTGGAGATTATGGAGAAACATGTCAATTAACACCTACCATCATGGGCGCAGATCCCGGTGGGGACACCGGGACGCGTCCCCACCAATATTTTTAGTGGTGGGGACATGATATACTGTGTCCCCACCACTTATTTCCGATGTTTTGCTTACTACTGTTTATTTTTTTTTAAATTGAAATCATTCCAGAGCTTTTATTGACATTTCAGAAAGTGTAGAGTTGATCCCAGGCACTTGAGGCCAGGGTCCTTGAAGTTGTACAGCTGCACCCGGTGACCGATTTTTATTTAACATGGGAATAAGTGATAATTCATATTCTAAAAGGAAATAATTAAAATATTCCATAGGGATTATAATAATATGTATATCATATAGGTGTGCAAGTCTGATACGCTGGGTATCGAAGGGTTAAGGGATAACTGAGATTTTGTTTTTATCTGGTATACTGGATGATAAATCACCTAACTAAAGGATTTAGTTTGTATATCAGGGAACCCTTAATTGCTAGATTTGCTGCCATACTAAATAAACGTATTTTTAAAGACTGGTGTTTATCTCTCTCTGTGGAATATAGGCAATTAAATCTAAAATTTAAGACAAGAATCGTGTACTTATTATTACAAGTAAGTGAATATTTGTTTTGCTGTTTTGAAGATGGTTTAGAAATTTAGGAAATTTTAACGGAAAAGACATTTTTTAAAACCTGTCATGGGCCGTCCAGAAAGAAGTCATAGGGAAAAGGAACGGGCAGAGTGGATATAAATGTACTGTTCTTTAGTTTTAAATATATTAAACACTTCATTGAATGTTTTTTGGGGTTTTTTCGATCAAAAAATTGCTCTCTGAACTATTTTGTTATTGGTACAAACTCCTCAGAATCGCTGAGAA